CTCTTCTCTTCTCTTCTCTTCTCTTCTCTTCTCTTCTCTTCTCTTCTCTTCTCTTCTCTTCTCTTCTCTTCTCTTCTCTTCTCTTCTCTTCTCGCCTCGTCTTGTCTCTCAGTGTTAACCATTCTCTTCGCTTCTGTGAGTGTTAACCAGTCTGCTGCAACAGTTGCAGACAGCTGGGAGCGAGTCACACTCTGACATTAGTTGAACAGCTGTTTTATCCCTATGGTCTGCGCCTGAGAACTGGGGTTTAGATTTGCCACAATAGACCTGCTTTGTTTCCTACCAAGACAATGCTTGTGATTGCCTGAATGTTTGAGCACAAGTGTGCTAGCCATAGTCATACAAACAAAGTAAAATGTATAAAAACATTTTGTGTGTGCACAGTTCACCCCAGAAAATCAAATCTTTTTGCTCTAACTTTTGCCAGCATGTGCACTGCTGTGGCTTTGCAGTGTGATTTTTGCCTGTTTGCACTGTAGCCTGCTGCATGTGGGCCTAATTGTTCTGCTTGCTGTAAAGAGGCCTCTGATAATGGTAACTAAGACAAGTGGATCTTATTCCCATAGCAACAAGAACATATCTTTCCCAAGAGCAGAATTCATTAATTATGCCTTTCTTTTACAAGACCTTTATTTTCTAAGACAGGAATTAGAATGCATGCTCAATTTCCTCCTCAGCATAAGAGCTGCACCGCCGACTGCATCACCTCTCCAGCTGCTACCCAGACAGCTAATAGAGAAATGCTCTGTCGCCTGGAGAATATTAATACACTCATATCCATGCAACCACATCTCGTTCACACTCGGTAGTAATGGTTTTGTGTACTTGTTTGCGTGTCAGTGTGCCCTGATGTGTGTGTTTACACCTTGTGTCATCAACTATTCCAAAACACAGTCAGTATTGCTTTGCTACTTCTTATTACATTTTATTCAGTCTTGCTTTATTTTCAATCTACCTTATTATTGTGAGTATGAAGTAAAATGTTACATATAATCTGCCTACATATGTTTGTATCTCTGTTTCCCAACTGAGAGAGTAAAAAGAAGACAAATGAGGGAAAGGGAGAGAGCTGATACTGTGTAATAAAACACGAAGGGAAATGAGCAGGGGAGGCCATAGTAGGTTAGTTCTCGTGTGCTTCTTATACACATTAACATCCCTGGTATAGAGAGTTGTTTTTGAGGGGGTCAAAGGGTGGCTTTTGCTAACACAAGCTGTTTTTTTTTTTTGTTGTTTTTTTTTTTTAAGAGAAATGATGGCATTAAGTCAATTCATTTATCTGATGAAAAATTATCCAACCATTTTGTAATCCTGGTAGGCACACAGTGTGCTCTGATCCAGTTTGGGACCTGCTGCAAATGGGCAGCACCAGGCATGTGCATGCTTCCTTGGCTTGTCAATTTGCAGGAGAAGAAAATAGTTAGCAGAAAAAAATGTTATGGTGATGCGAAAGAGATCTAAAAAAAAAGTGCATTCCACTTCACAACAAAATACCATCTTCCCTACTGTAAATAGATTTTATGTCACTGAAGCATCTCTTGAAGCGTCTTTGTTTCCTGTTTATTTCTACTGTTGCTGTTGGGTCTTGTCAGATTAATGCAGAGTAAGTTGAGAGAACATGTAAAGCCATATCATTTTGTAGAGCAAAGTACAGCTACCTGGAGCACTATGATTCAGTGTTATGCTCAATCAGAGTTATCCACCTCTGCAATTCTCTTCTCTTCCTCAACATCCTGTGCTCTCCTCTTCTTCCTTTGTCAACCCCCCTCCCCTTCTTCCACATGCATACACTCATCTTCAGCTCTTTCCGCCTTCCCTCTCTCCTTCTTCAAGGAGCAGTGTATAGAGGGAATAGAGTGCAGGGCTGATAGTGTGGAGGTCTAATTGCACCCAAGAAGAGAGCAGTGATGAGCCAGTGGAACCGTAGAGAGACATTGGAAAGGGTGTGAGCAAAGAAAGGGAAGAAAAGTGAGAAAAGTAGACATGGGGTGAGAAAGAAGTAAAGCAGCAGCATGAGAGATGGAGGGAATGAGCAATAGAGAGCACATAGAGAGCTGAGGCAGTCGGTCTGCAGTCTGCTGTGTCAGAGGTCCATGCAGGCACTAGCGATTTATAGCTGATCTGTTTGGCTCTACATAAGGCCTTTGCCCAGGCTGCCTCATTTTTCCCTCACTTACACACACAATCGTGGACATCCATTCTGTGTCCCTCCACAGAAGAGGCTAACACTTGAACAATGGTCACAGTTAAACCTAAACACTGTATAACTTTGCATTTGTTTGTTTTTCTTCAGAAGTGTTAGTGTTCATACTTATTTTGCAGTTTTTGTGAATACAAATCTATTCTTCTAAATCTCTTTGTGATATCTCAAGAGCATATCTAGACATGCCAAGTCAAATATAACTAGGCTTGTTAGGTCAATAACAAAGAAGTTCCAAATGAAACTTCAGGATTTTAGGTATTACAGAATTTTTTATTTTATGGATATGAAGTGCTGGCAGTAGATTGTTTTTAGCTCTGATGTGGCTTTCTTTCTCTCTTTGCCAGGTCCAGTGTGTGATGAGCCAGCAGAGGGGAAGCGGAAAGGTCGTCCTAAAGCAGAAATGCAGGAACTGAGAAGCATCCCTGTGAGTATTTCTCTTTGAAATGAGTGGGTACTTGAAGTGGGCTTCATTTTTCTTGCACAGTAGGCAGCTCCCCATGAATATTCACAATATACAGTGCCATATAGCAATAAATCTGGCGTGGATTCAACTCTCTCTTCCTCACCCCTGATCAGGCCCATATGATAGTACAATGGAAGGAAGAGTTTAAGCGGCGCTCCAGGGTAAAATGTCCGTGTTCAGGCTGCTGGTTAGAGTTTCCCAGCATCTATGGCGTCAAGTACCACTATCAGCGCTGCCCGGGGGTGAGTCACTAGCCTCTGCTCTTTCCTGCCACAAGGCTGTTTATACCTTTATGCTTCAGAGTAGTCTTGTAGCACTGGACCACTTTATAGGAGAAACCCATCCGATAGGGCACCGTTTAATAATTCCAGAGAATATATAATGGCCTTATTACAAACCTGAGCAATTATTAAGGCTTTTTCAAAAGCCTAAGATAAGTCAGCTGGAGGGGGGGGGGGGTATTTTCTTTTTTGTAACAGCTACCCACTGTCATTAGATTTTGGATAGGGAGAGAACTCACTTTGAATCTCCTCTTCGTATGTCTGCATCCAGGCCACCGTAGCTGAAAAGCTGAGTCATGGCTGTCCCTACTGTGAGGCCGTGTTTGCCACAAAGGTGCGTCTGCAGAAACACAAACTGTGGAATCATCCAGAGAGAGTCAGCATGGAAACCAAGGACGAGCAACCTAAGCTTCAAAAGACTTTTGTGAAGTCCAGCGCTAAGAAAAGGTGACTGAGGTATAGCTCAAATTCCTAACCAGATTGAGTCACTTAAAGATAACTGCCTAAAACTGTCCTGTCTCATTCTGTGAATTCAGGCCCATGGAGATCAGTCCCCCCTCTCCTGTGTTCTTCAAAGTGAAAAAGACCCATGACGTGTCCACACCCTCTCAGAATGGGGAGCTGGCCTACCAGAAAAATGAGAGGAAACAGCACAGCCACAGCCAGCCTTCACAACAAATTCACCAGACCCTGCCAGTCCAGCCTCACTCCCAGCAATCTCATTCCCAAAGCACGTCATCTGATGCAGGGGGAAGTGAAAGCGAGGGGGGCAGCCTTCCCTCTTCTTTTCCTGACGAAGACCCAGAGCGAATGAAGCACAGTAAGATTTCAACATGCCATTTGAAATGTTCTCAATTATATGCTTCCAGTATATTTGTATAACCATTATGCACTGTTTTTCCTCCTGCACTAGGACGAAAGCAGAAAACACCTAAGAAATTCACTGGAGAACAGCCCTCAATATCTGGAACTTTTGGATTGAAAGGTAGATACCTTTTATTAAAAGGAAAACATGGGGGTTTTTTTAGTGAAAACTTGAGCATGACAAAGAATTTTGTGATGTAATTTCACATGTAGGGCTGTTTGATATAACGATATATATCGGATGATGATATAAAAACATCTATTGTTTCATTTTACGCTATCGTTTGTTTCGTGGTGTCGCAAAATAAACTGTTTACGGCAATATTTTTTCATGGTTTTGATGGTCACTGTAGTGGCTATAGTAATTTCTTAAAGTTCTCTCTTTCTCTTATATTTAATATAACCACACTACGGATGGACAAGCGCCTGTTTTTATGCATTGTCGTTAGCAACAGCGACGGTAAAACCACCGCGTGTCCGCTTGTTTATTTTCCACATAAACCTTTCACAATAAAGCTCAAGGTCCTGTTGAGACTTTTCAAAATAAACTGAATCACGTGAAAGAGCAGATTATTTACGGATGAGAAGCAAAAAAGAGCCGCCAGGTGCTAAAAAATAAATCTTAGATTCAAACGTTAGAACAGGCTTTTCCCCGCAGCACGCCGTGTAATAAATACTCACAAAGAAAACGGCGGCCGTTACAACTTATGTCTAAAAATGTATCGTTTCATTCATCGATTAAAATACTCGACTCGACCAGGTACACGACGCGCAGCTGGAAACACTTCACGCAAGTCGAGCTGCCCGAGATTCACAGAATTTACAGAAAATGTTAAATTTCTGTGATTTATATCGTTATCTGGACGATAGATGTCTTATATCGGGATATGAGATTCTGGTCATATTGCACAACCCTATGTCACTGATATAATAAAAATATGAGACAGAATAGGTTTTTTTTGTATGCTGGTTGATTTACAACAGACCTTAGGAGCCCTTTGCTAATTTACTTAAATATTGAGTTCCAGAGTGGACAAATGTGCCACTGCTGGGAGGAGGGACATTATTAGTTATCTAAGTGACTGAGATTGCTCCCTGCTGCCACTGATCAATGGTGCTGTTTTTTTACACAGTGCTAATGTAGCAACTGTAGAGATGTCTCATATCTGGCTAAATTAATCAGTGACTCACACATCAAGCACACATTACAGATGCATATTTTTTTCAGCCTTTCTTTGTCTCATTCACATATATGCTGAAAATGCTCAGTGACTCATATAGCATACAGAGGGCTGTAAACTACTTACTATCACTTGTCAGACAGTTCATCTGCAGCTCACAGGCGCTGTCTTTTGCTGTCTTTTAGTCTGCTTGTCATTGATTTGGTATAGCTCAAAACAACTTCCATTTTCAGCCTCCTTTTTTCAATTTATAGTCAGTATCAACTTTCTGTTTTTAGTATCGTGTTCTTGTTTGGTTTGCCCTACATCTGTCCCACTCGCATTTCTCACTTTATCTTCTATACTTTCAGTTTGAATTTTAATCACTAGCGTGACTGTCTGTGTATATGTGTGTGTCTGCGTATGCACATGTGTGTTGTAGGTATGACTAAGGTAGAGGAGAAGCTGAAGGCAGGCCGTGTGAAGAGACCAGAGGGGAGTGGGTTCATTGAGGAGGCTCAGAGAAGACCTTCGTCAGTTCAGCCCTCCAGAAAAGACTCGGCCACAACAAGCTCTGGTGAACACCAAGATCACATTTTTTAAATTAATCATCCATCTATCTAGCCATCCACACATCCATCCATCCAGCTATACATTTTCGTATCTACCTGTCCAATTCAGGGTTTTGGGGGGCTGTCATAAGGCTAACACAGGAGCATTCATGCTCACTTCACACCTACAGCCAACCAAGTTTATTAACTAAAAACTAAAATTAGGTATGAAAAAAATTAGTTGACTAAAATAACAATAAAATGTATAAAAAAATTAAGACTATCTTTAAAAAATAGTGAACTTGAAAAACTAATTAAAATAAAAATACAGCGAAAGTAACCTTAGTTCTAGGTATAGTTTGGTATAAATGTTATTATAGCTTCCTTGATTGGGCATTGATGGACATGCTTGAACATTTAAACTAACTAAAAGAAAACCAAAACTATACATTTTCAAACAGTAAATGCTAAACTGAAATGAGAAATCCATTTTGGAAAATAACCGAAACTAGAATTGGAACTAGAAAATACACTGATCACTCTGCCACCAACTTAGAATTACCAGTTAACCAGTTAACATGCATGCCTTTGGACTACTTGAGGAAGCCAGAGTAATTGGAGAAACCCCACGCAGGTAGAAGAACATACATAGTTATTAATCAGTTAAATATAATTATTACTTTTATAAGTTGCATCATGTTTTCTTCAAAGAGCATTTCTTAAATCTTAATGAGATATGCATGCATATGACAAAAACGACAAAAAATTTATCTTCAAACTATCAAAACCCCATGGATATTCATTTCAGTCATATGAAACTGAGAAAGCAGCAATCTTTCACTTTTGGGAAGCTAAAAACGTAAGTGCTTACTGATCATCTAGATTGCTGACACATAAGGACATCATACCAGTGTAATTTCATTGGCTAAATAACAAAGCAGTACTGTGTTCTGAATGTTACTCAGGAGCTGTTCCTGACACTCAGTGGCAGCGAGCAATCTCAGAGAGAGGTGAAGTGGTGTGTCCCACTTGCTCCATCGTTACCAGGAAAACAATCCATGGCCTCAAGAAACACATGGAGATTTGTCAAAAGGTCAGTAGTCGATGCATCTGTTCATCAGAGTGGGAGCGGGGTGGCTCCCACTCTGAAACCAGTAAAATTGTTTTGCTGGTAGTAGCATTCAAAGACAAACTGGAGCTGTAAATCTCAGCTTGAAGAAGCCTTGTATTGTGGTTATTGTGCACTGAATATGTTAAAACTGGGGAGCCTGGGAACCTTTTCTAGTAAAGATAATGAAAATAAGGCTATCGGATCGCCCATGAGCCTGTTGCTGATTCACCACTGTTCTTTCCTTAGACCAGTTGTGATAGATACTGACTGCTGCAGTCCAGAAACACCCCATAGGAGCTGCAGTTTTTGAAGATGTTCATAGTCATCATAATCTGGTCCTTCTCAGGCTCATTTAAATCCTTACACTTAACACATCAACTTTGAGGAAAAAATGTTCACTTGCCCCCCTAATATATCCCACCCACTAACAGGTGCCATGATAAAGAGATAATCGGTTTTATTTGCTTCATCTGCCAGTGGTCATAATGTTATGTATGATCATAAATGGGGAAGGGAAGGGCCCTGTAAGCTACTGAAAATATAGTGTGTAATGCACTCAGTTGTGGTTATTAGTAGAGACAGACCGATCCGATATTACGTATCGGTATCGGTCCGATACTGACCTAAATTACTGGATCGGATATCGGAGAAAAATAAAAAATGTAATCCGATCCATTAAATATCACGAAAGCACCTCACAAAACTTGCAACACGCCGTAACTCCCTCAGAACGTTAGCACGTCGGAGCAGTATGCATCACGTGATAGAGCGGCTGTGGCATGCGGGACCTGTCGGTGGTCTGGATAGCATGTGGAGCTCATTTCATCTCCGACAAAGTTATCCCCGAGAGAAGTAAAGCAAGTGTGTAAGTCCATCTCTGAATGTTTGTAAAGCATTCCTGCGTTAAGCTTAACAAGCGATATATGGAGCGACTGCCTCTTCTTGCTGCTACTTCAATCATGAAACTGCTTAATGATCAGCTGATCGGCTTTTCTGTCGCGAGTCCGTCTCTCTTGTTTGTTTTTGGCCCACTTTGCACCAGAAAGAGGAAACCAGCGGCTGAACAACAGCAGCACGTTTAAGCTTGATAAGCTGTTGTTAGAATTTATTTAATATTACTTTCTACTCGCAGGATCTTTTTCTACGTAGCTGACGCTGGTAACTGTGCAGGGGCGGATCTAGCAAAGTTTAGCCAGGGGGGCCGATAGGGCATTAACAGGGAAAAGGGGGCACAAAGACATACTTTTCTTTCTTATTCTCATTTAAAATGTCTAGCTTTTAATAAATAATTATCTGACACCCAAAGTTTTAATTTGATGTAAAATGAATAGAAGTCATTACTGTATATAGTAACTATTAAGTCTATATATATACCCTAGTAAGCTATAGTACTTTTTCCTTTGGGAAGGTACCATCTGTGCAGTCTGCAATTTTTGAAAAGATGTTGAATCTATTTAATATTTCTTGAAAAATAATTGATTTCTGTGCATTTTTTTTCACACTGCATCAAATTAAGGTTGATTACGTCGATTAAGCATCATGAGGTGGAGCGTGAGGGGTGGTTCCCTATTTTTTATTTATTTATTTTTGTTGTTGCTGGGAGTTGGAACCCTATTAGTTAGGTTGCTTAATATTTACGCTAAGTACTCTTTAAAATACCAGAATAGGGAGGATGGTGTAGGTTTAAGTTTATTAGATTGATCAGTATTGCTGAACTATGAAATATTTTTTTTGCATACAGGTATAACAGAATAGCTTTAGTGTAGTTGTTGTTTTAAACTAGAGTATGAACTTATACAAAATGCAGCAAGATATTTAAAAAAAAACAGTTTCGTTGATTAAAAAACACTATATCGGATTCATATCGGTATCGGCAGATATCCAAATTTATGATATTGGTATCGGTATCGGACATAAAAAGTGGTATCGTGCCATCTCTAGTTATTAACAGTAATAAATGAAAATGGGCTAAAGCGTGGGGGGGGGGAAAGGGTTATTTCAGTTGTAATATGTCAAGCTTGTCTAGTGGATGAATGAGGTTGAGTGTTGCAGTAGCCTCAGCCCTCAAAGACAGTGTTCCTGGAGCCTGTTTTAATGGCTCCTTAGCCCAGTGGCCTGTGTGACTCTATTAAAGTGACAGTCTGCTGTTAAGCAATGACAGAATCATCACATTACCACTGGGTCACTCACCATCAAGACACCTCTGTCTCCAAATCAATACTGAGGCGAGGAGAGAAGCTACAACAAAGTTGTGATATGTGATAAATTGGGGTGGGGGGGGTTTAAGGTTCCTAATGTGTCCCTTGCCCTTTACTTTGACCAGAATATGCACTAGTAACAAACTTTATTAGGTTACAGATGAAATGTTGCTATACTGATGGATTCAATAAAGAGCAAAGCCAGCAGGAGTGGGTTATTTTCCTCTCATAGAAAAATGTTATCTGAGCTTCTTCTTTGGCCTTCAACCCCTGCAGCTCCAGGATGCCCTGAAGTGCCAGCAGTGCCACAAGCAGTTCAGGTCCAAGGCCGGCCTCAACTACCACACCATGGCCGAGCACAACAGCAAGGTAATTCGCTGACGTTGTACTTTGTAAACCGGTTTCAAAGACTTTAAACTTAAAAATGACACCCTGTGACTGATTTTGCTCCTTTTTCTATGACTCATTATGAGTCCAGATGGTTTGGGTGATCAGATCATCACTGAACATGGTAATTAGTTTCAAACAACACCAAAGAACTGAAAAGTGAATGCTAATAGTTTGGTTTGTCATGACAGTATGCATGGAAATCCTACATTTATTTCTGCTAGTATCGGTTTACACAGCAGATGTCCATCTATTTATATGCATCAACGTATAGAGTAAAAAATATACCCTATCCTATAATTTTATCTGTTACAAAAGTATTGTCAGATGCTATGATGATCTCTCAAAATTTGATCTTGTGGTCTCTAAAAAAATCGTGATTGTAAAGTTGAACTGGCGATTGGTATTCCTGTCAGTGAAGTGCTCACATTTCTTTCTGCAGCTGTCTTAACTCTGACAGCAGAGAGCTTCATTAAGATATTATCATGACACTCCTGCATTAGAGCAGTGGTGCCACTATGAAGTTTGCTGAATAATTTAAAGCTACCCGTTTCAAAAAGTATTATAAAAGATTAATGAATCTACACTCAGCAAACCTTGTGGCATGTGTGTTTGTGTTTTTGTGTGAATGCGTATGGTTATAGTATATGAAATACATGGTAATCTATGTGTATGTGTTTAACAGGCTTTGGCTGTGTAATGTTTGCTAGATTAAGGGCTCTGATAGATGACCGTGCCATCTGTGTCAGCCAAGTTAAACTGTTTGATGCTGCCATTTGTCTTCAGAGGGGACCTGTTGTGTCCTGACCTTATTGGCGGGATTCCAGTCCAGCCGAGCAAAAGGCATTAGTGCATTATTTTTGTGTGTGTGCGTGTGTGTGCGTGCGTGCGTGCGTGCGTGTTAAGAATAAAATGCTTAAAGGTTGCACAAGGTAGCCTTCCTACACATCTAAACTTCTGCTGTTTCTGTTCTTCTGATTAGATAATTACAACTTTTGTGACAGAATGAAAGCTGTTATTGTGTTAATCTCTGTTTGTGTGTTGGTGTGCTCTAGATTTGAAGTAGTTCCTTATTAAAGAAGGCTTTTTTAGCTTGTGGGTTTGACTGGTGTCACACTCTTTTTACTTTCCAATGAATTTTAAATTTCAGGAAATTGAAAGATCAGGAGGAGATAACACATTTCTTAAAATCAGTCTTTAGAAGTATGACGTGCCCTCTTTCTGTTTAGATACAAACGTTTCCTTTGTGCTACAGTAAGACAAGTACTTTTCTACAGTATCAATCATGTTATTTATTAATGCTACAATGTATACAATGTTATACATTGTAGCGGTTTTAGAGTCATGTTTTTAAGGAAGTAGGCACTACTACAACTGTGCTTTTGGATACACTGTATATTAAGGCATTTATTCATTCAAAAGTGTCAAAAAGACCAGTGTTTGGTGCCTTTGAATTGCAAAGCAGTTTTTTTCATCACTCATGTGTTCCACCGACAAATCTGCAGAACTTTTGTTCATGCAAATATGTTGAACTAATGTATTTTCCAATATTTGTGAATCACTTGGTACAGTGTCCTTTAACATAGAATAGAAAAATGAGCATATAATGAAAAAAAAGCTTTTGCTCATACATTTTATTAGAGGTGTTAAGTTTACATATGTTAATTTGTCCAGCACTATTGCAATAAGTTGAATTTCTTATTAATATTTCTATATTAAACCGATTTGCACTTCAGTCTCATGTAAACTGTGTTACTGTGTTTGGTTTCTGTATGACTTGGAGACTTCACTGACCATTGCTCTGATATTGTAAGTCTTGCCATGTGGCTTTACCCAAATGCAGTGTGGGAAAGGCAGCAGGCTGACAGAAGGACAGGGGTCACCCACTGAGATTGACCTTGGCGTTGCTACTGTGATAGTGCTGCCTCATTCTCTTACGCTTGCTCTTTTGCTCCTTCCCTGATAGAAGCATTAAGAATACAAGCTGATGTCGTTTCATTGTTGCTGGCCCTGTCATTGTATATCAAAGGCTTGCTGGTGCCTGTTCTGCTACCCTCAGGCTTTTGCAGTAGCTTTATTGAAGTACTCAAGTGGTATCTCCCTCCTACCTTTACAGAAAGCTACTGTAGTGTTGTGTGTCAGTCATCTCTGTGTGTTAACACATGAGAAAGCACATTAAATGTGTTCCGCTGGGATCCCTCAGTTAGTCTACTCTCTCTCCAGTCCCCTGCATTTCTTTTCCATCTCTGGCAGCCCTACCATCTGTTGTTCTGGTCTTGGCTGGTGTTTGGCACCAACCAACATGCGAGCGAAAACACGAGTTTGACAGTTGTCATAAACATGCCTTGAGTAACAGCCTCACCAGGAAACCATTTAATGATCCTGGCATCGTGTGAACATTAGAGATAGAAAACACATTTTGATTGCTTTTTTTTTTTTTTAGTCCTGAGGAAGTGGGGTGTGTGGTGGTGTGATAGTGTATTTGTTCCCCCTCAGCCCTCAGGGAGTGAAGGCCAGACGGGCAACGAGCATGAGGAGAGGGAAAGGCTGCGCCGAGTGCTCAAACAAATGGGACGAATCAAGTGTCCCAGTGAGGTATGCACTTCTTCTTTTTACCTGGTCCTTTCCTCTTTTACTGTCTCTCATTCTATACTACTCTTGCTTTCCTGTGTCTTTCATTTTATGTCACATTTCTGTCCCTCGTCATCTGCCAGTTTTGATTTCATTTCTCTCTTGTCCTCAGGATCTTCTTTTGTGCCTTTCTCCTTTTACATCTCTCTCGCTCTCTCTCTTTCTCTCTCTCTCGCTCTCTCTCTCTCGCTCTCTTTCTCTCTCTCTTGTTATCTTTCTCTCTCTTCCTTCCCTCTTCCCTCTCTTTTCCTTTATGCCTTGTTCTTGACATGTTGCCCAAAATCACATCAACACCCTGCTTCGCATTACTCACGCTAGAGTGCAAAAGGCAGAGAGAGTAAGAATAGAAAGAGCTGTAAAGAATAAACTCTACAGTGACATGTCTTCACACTGAAAAATGAGCATCTTTCTCCTGTTTTCTCTGTCTTTTTAACATTAACCACAAAGTATTGACCAAATGCAGCGTTCCATTAAAACTACACTTTGTTCCACTTACCCAGTCTCTTGCTTAATGTTTGTTTTCATTCTGTCTCATTTTTGTCATTGGCGTTACTCAATCACACAAACATTTTGTGTACAAACACACACGCACACACGTACACAAATACAGGGCTGTTCAGCCCACTTTTCCAGTCTGATGGGCTACCAGTATCACCAGCAGCGTTGTGGAAGAGAGTGTTCTGACGATGCGAAGCCTGTGTTTCTGTGCCAGCACTGTGGAAAAAGCTACCGCTCCAAGGCTGGCAGAGACTACCATGTACGCACCGAACACTCCCCGGCCATCACCACCACACTGACAGCCGCAGCCACCACCAACCTCATGGATAGTATCACTGACACCAACAACAACACTGGCAAGGAGAGGGTGAGATCATCATAGACGAGGGTTGTAGTAGCAGTTATAAGAGATGAACCTTTTTTTCTTTTCATTTTATGCTGATTACAAGCACATTTTATTGAATTTTAATGAGTACCTAAAGTTTTCCTATATTTTCACTCAAAGGTCTTACTGTTCCTTCAGGTGATCTCTGAAGAATCTCCAACAGGAGGTAAGAAGGAGCAAAGCCAAACTGAAAGGAAACGGTGGCAAGAGAAAGCCCCATCCAGCCATCCTAAGGAGAAGGACAGAGGCGCTAGAGAGAAAGACAGGGAAAAGGAAAGGGAGCAGGAACAAGGTCAACAAAAAGCAGCACAGATTGAGAGACAGGGGGAGGACTTTGAAAGGACCCCCAGTGGCAGGGTGAGACGGCGGTCAGCTCAGGTGGCGGTGTTCCACCTGCAAGAAATAGCTGAGGATGAGCTGGCTAAAGACTGGGGCACAAAACGCCGCATCAAGGATGACCTGGTTCCTGACAGCAAGAGGGTGAGGAATAAAATTTGGATGCATTAAGTGCACATGGTGACCACAGTAAATACAGTATATTAGCAGTCCAGGTCAAAGGCCATGCAAAGGCTCCACACAAACTCCATCAGCAGATTTAAAAAATCCTTTATGTTACATCCACTTTTTTACACTGTAGAATTATATTAATAACTTGAATACTGATAGATTAAAAAAAGTTGTCTTCTGCATAGTTAAACTACACCCGCCCTGGCCTCCCCAACTTCAGCCCAGAGCTTCTAGAGGCTTGGAAAAACCAAGTCAAGGAGAAGGGCTTCATCTGCTGCACAAACGAAGTAAGAATATACAAGTACACCATGTACAAAAAATAACCTACAATATCTGAGCAAAACAAAAGGGATTTGCCTTAACATTGAGTGTAACATAAATACGAAGTCAGTGTGTTTAATCCTTGTTTGTTTCTGCTTTGTCCTAGAACTGTGAAGCTGTCTATTCCAGCGTGTCAGGACTAAAGGCCCATCTCGCCAACTGCAGCAAGGTACAAATCCACACTACTGCAAAACTCAGTGTCTGAGAATATTACTGGATATACAGTAATATTCCAACAAACCAATACAGACATCCCAAAAATACACTCAAACTGAAAAAATTAATCTTAAGCAAAAGGAAGTGGAATCTGATGGTACAGTTCAAATAAAATTAAGACAAATAAAGATACAAAATGAAGAGAAAGCAGGAAGTATTAGAATCACAGCATGATCTTGTATAACTTGTAAAACAGGATCTATTTTGCTCATTTCCAACTCATCTCAACGATTTTTCACTCTCTACTAGAGTACCTTTGTATTATTAACAATTTACTATGATACGTGGGGGGGTATACTGGGATTTTGTGCTGTCTCTCAGTTCATCCGCTGTATACTACAAGCCTTTTTTAGATTGACTGTGCCCTGGAAAGAAAATGTTGGGAGGGGCTGCTGCGCTCATATTAAGGATATCCCTTCTCACTGACATCATACAGGGTGAAGCATAGTAAATATTTTCCGAACATTCTGAAACCTGAGTTTTTGGTTGATCGGCATTCATTGCACGTAAGTTCACCTCTGCGTTTGAAACTATGGCTCTGATCACTATCAGAATCCACCAAGATTTTGTTTTTGAGCTGTATTTTCTCAAAATATGTTTTTAAGCTTATTTAAATAAAAACTTAACTTGGAATATGTTTTTAACACCCTCCTGCTGTAAAAGGCTGACAGGGTATGGTTTTTGATGGGTTCTTAACTTGCACCTTCTGCAGCAACCTTAAACTGGTTATCTAAGCAAATATCTTATCAGTCATGAGGCAGAAAATTGGCATATGAACAGGTGGACATGGTAAAGATGGTTTGTTAAATTTCAAAAAAGAACATTTCTGTCCACATGGCAGTCAAGAATGGGCAAATAAGGCTATGGTATAGTTAGAATTTGGCATAAACAACATAGAAACATGCATCTATTCTCTTTTGTGTCAACAATTCAGGGTGTTCAGATAGTGTAATGATGTGAGGGATAATTTCTTTGCACATTTTAGTACCAGTTGAGTGTCATAAATGCCAAAGACTGAGTATTGTTGCTGACCATCTCGATCACTTTATGACCATCCCTTTGTGTACCCATCATCTAATGACTACAGCTGGCGTGATAATGGACCAAGTAACAAAGGTCATACCATCTCATACTGGTTTGTTGAACCAAACAGTGACTTTAGTGTACTCTGGTGTCTTCCACAACTACCAGATCCAACAGAGAACCTTTGGAATGTGGTGGAGCAGGAGATACACCAGATGATGCCGTTACCCACAAATCAAGAACAAACATTTGATGATATCATGTTAACACAGACCAAAATCTCAGGGGAAAGTTTAAGTGTGTCCAACCAGGTACTAGCAACATTTCTGGTGTGTGTGTTTGTTACAGGGTGGTGGCGAAATGGGGAAGTACACCTGTCTGATCTGTCAGAAGGAGTTCAGCTCGGAGAGTGGCGTCAAATACCATATTAGCAAGACACACTCACAGGTGGGTCACTGTCAGTATAAACTTAGAGGTTGCCATTAACATGACCCACTTAGTAAATTTCATTTCTGGTAATACGTCATAAAATAATGAACAGCATTGGTTAATCTTAGATCCAGTTTATTTTATCAGACTTGTTGCCAATATGACCGAAAAGAGCGCTAAGAAGCTGGTCACTGGGACTCACTGGGAATTGTTGTGGAAAAGTGTATGAAGAAGAATGTGCAGACCACATTTGGCAATAGTAGTCAACCAGTCTATAATAATTTGGTTGAGTGAACTGTAGGACAGATCGTATCTTCCTGCTGCCATGAAATTTTATGATGTTGTTATTAACACAAGATTCATGGGCAGGTTACCAACGTGGTAACAGTAATGAACCCATTTCTGCTGTTTTACTAGTTACATATTGTATTTTTGTTTGTTTTTGAGAAACATTCAAATGTCTCTGATTGGTTGAATAAAGTTTTTTGTTTTTATCTAAAAGGCAAAGCAAATCCAGAAGTGTGTCTACAGCTCCAAAAAGTTTCTGCAGTTTTATACAAGTCTATGGGAAAATAACCTCAGAGACCAGCCGCTAGTTTCAGGTCATCTTGAATTGAACATTAAGTCCATTATGGTTATACTTTTAACAGCCAGATAGGAGGACTTTCTAACGACATGTCAATCATGTCATATCCGGTTTCAAAACACCAAGACAGTGAAGCCACACACTTTAGGCTTCATAATGAGACTTTCTAAACTAACGAGTAACATCATGGTGGCTACATCCACCTGTTATACTGTCTGTGGGTAAAACCAGCTAGGTTGCACATTAACCTTGTCATAATACTCTTGCACTCAACAAGTCTATACATATCTTCCTTGAACTAATCTTTTCTCTTCATCAACAACATCTTTAGTTACAAGATAACACATACAGTTTTTTTTTTCCCCTTATAAAAAAGCCTCTTTGTTTTTTGGTTTTAACATCCCCATCTTGTCCCCAGTTAACATTAACCTTTGGTGTTCAGACATGGTGGTTTATACAGTTATTTAGGAAGAAAAATGTATACACATGCAGTTGTATTCTGCTTGTTTGCCTTCTTTGGATCTTGACTGGTTTACTGTTTTTTTGTTTGTTTGTTTTTTTGTCTTAGAACTGGTTCCGTGCAGCTGCCAGTCAAGTTGTGTCCAGTAGCAAAACTAAAGTCCCAGAGAACAATGGGATAAAGGCCGAAGTGAGGAACGGAGCCACGACTGGTAAAAAGAGGGGCCGTAAACCAAAAGAGCGCCCCCCTGTGAATGTACCTCTCGAAACAAAAACTGAGGCGCTTACCACCCAAAACTCAACCCCTGCCGCGACTCTGTTCTCTGGCACAGCACAGCCCCCAACTCTGTTCCCTGACCCAACGGACAGTGATAATTCAGGCCAAAACAGACAGCCAATTCCCTCCGCCACCAGAAGAAACAAACCCAAGAGGCTGTTACTGTCCGACTAGCTCTGCTTTTGTTGACCTAGGAGCCCAAGAGGATTCTTTCTTTAAATATCTGCCAGGAAGCTTAAAGACATTTCTAGCGCTACAAGAACTTGGCACTGAGAAGAAAGCCAAAAATCAACCAATATGAAGTAAAACCCAGTCTTCAAATCTTGGTTTCGAACCCCCCGAGATAATGTGTATACTGTTGTACTCAGAACAGTAGTGTTTTATTTCCCCATTCCACTTTTGTCTCCCATTTAAGGCACATTTTTCAATTTCTGTACTCACAGCAGGGGTGTCAGTAGTAATCAAAGTCCTGACCTAAACATAGATTTTTTTTTTAAACAGAGTTAGTATTCTAAATACCAATGGAGAGTCATTTTCTCTGCAAGATTTGTGTTGTGTTTGAGAGGTTTTAAAAAGGATATTCTATTAGCATGGTGAAGTCATTTAATAATAGCTAGTGTTTTCACATTTTTTCACAGATATACTGTACTGTGTACATGAACAATATCTATATCTATATCTATATACTCAAAGCAATGATGCCATCCGTCATTTCCAAGCCTGAAACATCCAATTGGATCATAAGCGGTCAGAATTTTTTGCAGTGTGTGCTTTAGTGCAATGTTGTTTTAATATAGTTTTTTTTCTAGTTTGACTTTTATTGTTTCTTGCTTTTCATGTTTTACATAAGCAAATGTCATATAAGCTAAAATGTTTGTAAGTTGTTCATGTTTCACATTATTTTTTACAGTTGTTACTTCCAAGGATTTTTTTTCACATGACTGTGAACAGTATCTGCTTTGACAACCATAATTAAGTGTGAAAAGATTATTTCCAGACTGGTTTTACACGGAAGTTGCGAAGCAGAATACCCAGAAAAGTGACTGATATTTTCATCTGTAAGGCATACTGCAACTTAGTTGCTATTAGAAATAGAAAGACACGTTTAATTGAATTTAAAAAAAAAAAACAACCAGGAAAAAAATGTTGAAACACTCTAAAATCGGTCTAGCAAAGCTAAATGTTTGACAGGAGGAAGAATTCTGTGTGAAGCTTGTTGCACCATTGCAGCACAATCAAATGATGAGGCCACGTTTTGGCTACTGCTTTAGCTTGAATCAAAGCTGAGGAGGGAATTTTAAAAATATACTATCTTTTCTAGAGAGGTCCAGGATAATAATCTTTTATTAAACAGAAAAACTGCTAATTAAGATTCACATATAATAATGTAAATGAATGAATTCTTGAACGCTCAAAGTTATTGCCTTGCACTTTAACCTTTAACCCTTCCTGCTCCCCTCTTGTAGTTTTGCACTCCAGAACTATTCACCCTAACCTAGTGGCTGTCTGGTGCAGGAGTGGGATTTTTGTTTGTTTGTTTTTTTAAACTCTGGTGGTAAACTAGAGAAAGAGACTAAGTTTGTCATGAGCAACGTGACTGACACTTTCTATATTGTATCTGAAATCCAACGCAATGGTATAATTATGATTCACCTCACAAAGCCATAACTGGTCTTATTGAAGTTTAGGGCTGCTTAGCCACTTAATGTTAGATTAGCTTAAAATATATAAATATATAAACAAAATATTAAATGACTTTTCAAAATCTAAAAGATTAGAGAATATTTTCACTTTAACATGTTGAAAGTAGATACTTGAATCCACAGTTGTATTAACAATTTGAGCAAATTAAAACTCCATGAATATTTGATTTATATTTGAAGTTTATGTCCATGAAAATAACGACTTGCTTGCTTAAAAAAATACAGATCATAAATCTATTTTATATTCTATGGTGTGTGTTACTTAGATAGCAATCTGATAGCTTTGGATAAAATTATGTGAGGATATTCTGGTGAGATAATAAGGGTGCTTTACTTGCCACTCTACCTTAAGGGCCTGATACAACTCACTCAAGTCCATATTATCCTTACTGGCAAGTCCTCTGAATTTTGCATCATAATGTCAATGTCATTAAAATCAAGCACTGATGTCAGCAGAACATTTTCAAGAAACATTGAATTTGAAATGTGTGTTTTTCCAGGTGGTTTCATTCCTACGCTGTGACTTTTTATAACGTAACGCAAAGATTCAATCTGAATTCCTCCATTGCTAATCAACTGATGGAGTTAATTCAGGTGGGGATGATTATGCACGTGTCTCTGTCATGGGGATGGACCTTTATCTTCTACCTGGGTTCAGATGACAGAGAGGATAAGATGAACAAGCACTGAGTGGTCCTCGGACCTTTTCAATATGAGTTGTCCAGACTTTGTGTGTGTGCGTGTGTGTGTGTGTATTAAACAGTTAGCACCTTTTTTTGTAATGACTGGATGTCAGAAATAGTAACACTTTTGAGTGTTATGCTGTGGCACAGAATCAGTTCATCAGCTGCTTGTTACTCGTTTCATTAATGACGTCACATTGACTGTGTTTACCTGACGAGCTTTGGTGTTGCAATATGATAGTTTAGCACTGCTTTTAACAGTGGGTATTTTATATTTTATCACACCCTTTACTATCTGTCTTCCTATGATGTGGAAAACACATATCTATCCCGCAGTGTGAGCTAACTGCAACATGTTTAGAGAGTACAGCAATACACCATATTTAGCTGATTTTGTTGGCTTGCTGATATTTTGATATCGATGTGTCTTCTCGAAATTGTATGGCTTTTTTTCCCACTCCCCTTCTTTTATTAATTTGCTTTAAAAAAAAATGCTTTTTACATATGATGAAATCTACACAAAAAAGGTTGAGAAACTTTGTAGACCACAAACAACATTGTAGGCCTGAGTGTTGGCATACACTGTTATTTGATCCATTTTGACGATGCACATAAATTGAGCTTTTTCAGTACATGATGGCAAGCAGATTGAGAGAGTCCTTTTATTATTATCTATTCAGTATGGGACAACAAGGCATATGTATGTGTGTTTGTTTCTGTATTTAGTGCACTTACTATACCATGAAATAGGCTTGAAATAGGAGTGTTGTTGGAGCTTTCTAGTTACCTGGACTGTGTGTGGTGTGACTTTTGTACCTGGGGAAACAGCAGGCTCAAGTGTCTTCCCTTTGTCAGCAATGTTATTTCCAAAACCAAGATTATTCCTTAGAAATTCCCCTAGACAGCTGAAGAAGTTTACACTTTTTATTTGGTGGTTTGTTTTGTATGCTACCTAGTTCAAAAGCAGGAAATGGCATCCAGCTCTGTTGTTGGGGTCATTGTGATGAGTTTTAAGAGATGATGTTGTAGCTCATAACTGTTTATGGTATATAGGTAACAAATTAAATGAGACTAATGATGTATTAAAGATTTCCATATCTGAAATTAAGCTGTATAGTACCTAACATTGGAGGATTCAACACCTCCTTTGAGTCTGAACTGTTACAATTTTTTCTCCCAAACTTGTTGTATTACCTGTGCATTAGTATCCCTTAACTAATTAATAAAAGTTTGTTGACTAAACATGTGTCATCTCTGTCACCTTTTAGTTACTTTTTTATAGCTATTGCAATGTACAATGTAGTTGATGGGATTGTAGATTGTGTAAAGATGATGAAGATGGTTATATACAGACAATCAGTGGAATATAATAAACTTATTAGGGTGAATATTTTGACAAACACAAGGCTGTGAAATAAGATTAATAGTCCTTTTAGCCAAGTACAGACAACATCACACATTAAAAGGAGCCCTTAGTGCATAGGTGTCAAACTCTGGCCCGCGGGCCAAATTTGGCCCGCAGCGTAATTACATTTGGCCCGCGAAGCCATACCAAATTACTATTAGAGCTGGCCTGCTGGTATTATACAGCTAATATATATTGTTTAGTATTAAGCTTTGCTGTTCCATATTCAGTTTTTCAGCTAAACTTGTTTGAGTCCATAAAGACTCATTCTTATATCTGGAGGAAGATTTTTTTCTTCAATAAATATTAACGTTAGCCCGCGACTTTGTTCCATTTTGAATTTTGGCCCACTGCGTATTTGAGTTTGACACCCCTGCCTTAGTGCATAAATGTTTTTTTAAATGCAGCTGAATAATTAGGGTTACAATTTTATCTAATACTGGCTTTTATCACACTTGTGCATAGTTTATTAAAGCTGCACTAAGTAGCCACTAATTGTGCTCATGAAAAAAAGGAAATATATATTTGTACAGTACTGTGCACAACCCCGGAGCCACCCCTCACTTCTTTATATTTTGCTAGGAAAGTGGAAATTTGGGGCCGAGATTTATTGAAACGTACAAAAATTCCTGGAAAATAGTGTAGGTGAAAACAACTCTAAAAAGCTTGGAATGTCCACCTTCAATCACCAACACAGCCTGAACTCTGTTAGGAAAGCTTTCTTTTAATTTCTCAAAGAAGTCAAGCCAAGCCAGTTTATTTATACTGTGCACTGAAACACAACAGACACTGAACAAAGTGCTGTCACAACACTGGTTCATTCCTTGATATAGGTGATTTTTTGTTGTTTTGTTTGTTTGTTTTCCATTAGTAGGTCAGTGTTAAGTGGTTTAACAAACAAATAACATTCTTCTGAAAATGTTAAGGTACAAGAACTGGACTGAAAATCATTTAAAAGACTTTAAGAGAACTATTGCTCAAGACTGCTTTAAAAAATTACCAGAAAGTCTGGTTTCTTGGAAGCAAAATATAAGGACATAGGAGTGGCTCAAGACACAGCACTGTAAAGTTATTTAGATTTGGAGAGAGATTATGAAGCAAAACTAAAATTTAAAAACTGACTAAAAAGATTTATCTCCACTCCCACCTACACGTGGCCTGTAAAAGGCCCTGTAAGCTTAAAATAAAAGTACATGCTGTTTATTGTGAATAGAAAAAACGGATCACGTGCATTCTGGGGCTTGAAGTCCAAGTGCAGCCGCGAAGCTGAAAGAGATTCCACTGAAGAAATACAAGTCCCATGATGCCTCAGCTGTGACTGCGCTCTTAACACCTGATTGTCAACAGGGCAGAAATGTCTGTGGTTAGCGTGGAAGACAGGCGCTCAACGATGGACAGCGAAGCGAAAACTTCCTCTGTATCGAACAGGTATAGAGTTTGTAGATTGCTTCGGAAACCTTTGGTATTATAGTACATTATTATGACGTTACTGGATGCATTTTTTTTTCATCTTATCCTGGCAGTTGGGTTAAGCATCTTTACGGAAACACGACCTGTTACACTGTACGTCCCAGTGGTACAGTAATTAATATATAATACGCCTGATAAATGTAACAGCAGTCTAGAAGTTACAGTATAATTATTAGTTTATTATAAATATAATAAACCCGAGGCCTGCTTTTTGAGTCTCTCGTTTTGTCCACTCTCTCTCCCTCTCTTTGGCTTTACGATCTGTCATCTTATTTTACACGAGGTTGCCTCGTAGCTTTACTTCATTGTAATCTTCTGAAGCGAAGAAATCACATCAAACACGTCTTTACCAAGCAGCCACTGTTAACTGAAACATGCTCACCTATTTTAACGTGTAATGGGAATCGCTAGAGAGAATTGGAGAGCTAGCTTAAAGCAGAGAAAGTGGACTAAGAGAGCTTTCTTTTAGCAGAGGTGGAAAGCACGCGCCTTGGTGTTTTCTGGAGGTACTGCGGCGTGAGTAAAGCGGGTATTTCTGGCAAATGTCATCTTCCTATGGGATATATAAGGTAACGGAACAGAATAACATTTGGGTTAGGTGACTAAGACTCAAGCTGAAGCACTTGGTCCAGTTGTTTGTCAGCTGCTGGTCTGCCTTAGATGTTCAATACCTCGTTATTCCACAAGAGGGCGGTATCGTATTGGTGTGTCCGCTGAGAGAAGTTCCTGCTCTTCTAGACGTCAACCTTAGTGGCTCGCAGGCTTTAAAGTTATACTCACATTATTAAATGTATGACCGCTGATATTAATATAGTTGTATGACAGAACTCAGTTGGTCACTAAACTATAACCTAACACAGAGGCACCATAAACTGTTAATTGAGGCAGTACCGGGCCAGTCAAGAGCTCTGCAAGGCAAAGGTTCTATGCACTGCAACCTCCCTTTATCACTGAATATATTTGATTTTTTTAAAATTAGTAAGTAAAGTCAGCATTACATGCTGTTACTAATACGTTTAGCTTATATTATAGTGTGTTTACAGTATTAGTTTTATGTTAAGTGTTATTGCAGCCGAGACTTTGTAAGCCTCCTGTGCATCACTGTCGCCATAGCGAGATGGCTGAATGTTTGGCATAGAAACCAGTTCAGGCTTCTTGTTTCGATGTGGCTTTCTTGCTCTGCAGCTGTCCTCTCGATGAAGATTAAAGCGACAGTGACACTACCAAACCATTACAGTTCAGATTAGAGGAGAACACTCAATTCTCTTTCCCCTGTTGGTCCCCTGTATAATATAAAAAAGTGAATAAAGAGAAATGAAGTCTGGTCAGAATCCATGTTCCAAAATATTTGGAAAAGCTTTCATGTTGCTTTGTATTATATCTAGTAGCTTCTCTAAGCTGCTTGATTGTTTTTCTGTGCACTGAAAAGCAATTAGTCCATCTCCTCTGAACTCTGAGCATAATGATTTGTTTGTCTGTACAAGTTGTGGCTAGGGAGGAGTGGAATGGCGTGCATGTGTGTGTGTGTCTGTGTGCGTTTCCCAGGGCTGTTCCCCAGACCGTCAGCTGATAGAGCAGCAGTGGTAGTGTTGGGTTTCATCATGCTGTTTATTCCCCAGTCTTCACTGTGAGTGAAAACAGGGAGGGGACTTTGCTCTTCGGGCGTGTGTGTGTGTGTTTGCTGTGGTGCTGACATCTCTAGACTCGGTATAAGGCACACAGAGGCACTGTATGTCCCCACAGGGTAAAAGCACATCAGCTCCCCTCTACCCTTCCCCTCTGTCATCCCCGCACCCCCTTCAATTTCTCTTCACCTCCCCAACACAGCCTGAGGCGTCTCTGTTGTGAATTCAGCCAACTGCATCAACATCAGAGGAGAATAATCGCTGGCTGTGTGACTGCGCCGCACTCTTGTTATTTATTTCTTTGTTTTGTCTTGTTTTGGGTTGTTTTTTTTCCACCCTCTAGTTTGTTTCTTCTCTTGTCGCTCTCTTCTGGTTCCTCTTTCACCTCCGGCCACATACTGCGACACTGACTGCCAAAGACAGATGACCCAAGCTTGGCATGTGTCTGTGTGTGTTTATATATGTGGGTGTGTGCGTGTGTGTACCAGGAGTGGTGTGGTCTGGTTCTAACCCGGTGCTATTAATACACCCTAATGAACATAATCTGGAGGGCAGGTTATCCTCTTATGTTTGTTGGCTGGGCGTCTAATGGGAGGAGCAGCGAGTTAGTGAAAGAGGAGGGAAATGCTGTGCTGTAGTTTCACACTGAGTGCGCCTCCTCTACCAAGCTGCAGTGCCTTCTCTCTCGCTCTGTTGAGAGAATGGAAGAAATAGAAAGCTAAGCAAATGTTTAAAGTTTCGTTTCTCATCCAAGCCGATTCCCATGTATATTAACCACCTTCTGTCGCCACCTCTCTGGATGTGATGCTCCAGAGAGGAGCGCTGTTAAGTGTGTGTTTGAGTGCATATGAATATGTACACTGAGTATACCGGCTGACAATAGTATAGGTTTAAAACACAACTTTTGGAGTACAAACACTGGAAGCTTCCCAGTTATGAACACTCTACCAGCTTACTCAGGAGCTAGAATATCTGGCTGTTGGACGCTAAGATCTGATGGCAGGTAAGTGCATTTTATTTCCTTTAATGTACTCCTTAGGTGACCTGGGCAACTTTATTCCTGTCTGTAGTTTAAATGTCCTTAAAATGTGTACAGCTAATGCTTTTAAAAGTCTGGATAAACAGGAAAGACAACTCCAAGTCGAAGCTCACTTGTTTATACCTTCTAGGTTTTTGTCTACATACTTTAGGAAATGTGGCACCTTTTAAGTGCAAACGTGATGTGAGGAACCGTAAAGTTTTTTTTAAACTGAGAATTTTACACTGACATTACAGTAGTGTTACGTACTTGTACATACTCGTTTTTTATGAAATCTTGTTGGACAAATGAACAAGCTGATGTGAAACAGTAGTCACTTTATGCAGCTAGGTTGTGTTAATTTACTCTTTGTGTGAGCCATTGTGGAGAAAGTAAAGAAAAACATGTCGCTTTACTGACATTAGATGTGACGTTGCGTCTTGATTTGCTGCTAATATTATCCTTCAATCTGCTGCCCATAAGGCTTAGATGTCTGCTTCATAAGGGCCTTCTCAGGTACCCCACACTATAACTTCTTATCACAAAGGTGCATTCATGTAATGTTTTGAAGCACTGGGTACTGTAAGTGTAACCACAGAACAAGGACATGATTCAGCACAGTCAGCTAAGCTAATCTTTTATTGCACACTAGTTGGGTTTTAACTGATAACCATACTTCAGTGAGCTATGTCCCGCGCACGCTCTCAGCAGTCTCCCACTCTGCTCCCTGGCTCCCTCTAACCAGGTGACCCTGGTGAGATAAGATAAATCTTTGTTCTCTCTTGTTTGCTCCTCTTCTGAGCTCCTGGCAGTCCACCTGGGCAGGTATATGACCTATATAAATGTGTGGAGCCTGACAGTTGACTGGAAAACAGAGGAAGATCTAAGACTTGTTTATTACAAACGCCGCTATAGTTATGGCCGCTGGCTTTTTACAGTCTTCACTGGGTGAAGTGTGGATGGCTCGGATAATGCAGTAAGTGTTCCAACTGTTGCTCAGTTAGGCATACCGCACACAGATGTTACGTTGTATTTGTTAAACAATGAACGCAGCAGTTGTTTTCATGATGATTGTGGGCGGCAATCGTTGAGCGACTTTAGATTGCTTCGCTAATCGAGTGGCATTTTCCTAAAAAAGCAATATTTTGTTTATCAAACGTCAGCGGCACAGCAGATTCTTGAGACGCTGACAAAATAGAGTTATGTAAGAGAAGTGAGGCTGTTGTTTTAGAGGAAGTAATAGAGAGGTTGCTCACCAATCTGCTCGACCAGTTCTTTGTACCAAGTTTTTTCTCTGCTCTGAATTCCAGTTACTCACAACTGCCGAATGATTTGTAAAGGCACAACATTAAACTTAGTCATTATAGGTTAAGTAACTTACAATAGTGAAAGAGTAGCCCATATGTGCAGCTCTTTGCAGTTTAGACACAAAACTCTTGCAATGGGTATTACATAAATTTCTTTCTTAATTTCTTCTATCTTATAGAACAGATGAGAGACCATCAGGTGTAGTTTGAATAAGTCAATGCAAATTCGCTCCATGCCTCGCTCGCCTTGTACCTGTTTTGAATTGGCTTGTTGTCATTTGTTTATGAGGGCCTTTTTATCTTGCTGGTTGTGATGGCACATTCTTCCAGCAATCTTTTCGCTCGTAAAACTGATCACAGGACTATTCGATTAGTTGAATCAACATTTCTCCACTTCTAACATGTTCTGTAGGTGTTTTTAGGTACTGTAACCACCTGCTTTTCTAGCATGCTGTCTTTCCAGTGGCGGATACCTGATCCTTTCAATTGGTAAAATACAATGGACTATGAAAACACAATCCATCACTTTGACTCTATAATTCTCTTATGGTTATGGGGAGCTTTAGATGTAATATATTATACCATCTGTACATTAGTACCTGCAGCAGTTACACTGGACAAGACTGGACAAAGTTGACAGGTTGAAAAATTAACCAGTGACAGGAGGGAAAATGCTACACTGCTGTTTTGTTGGTAACTAACTGGGCCGCCTTTCTTTAGTCAATCTGTTCATCCATTGCATGGTTACATGCCACAAACAATGTCTGTCTCTGTGTGTCTAATGTGTCACCGGGCATTAGATACAAGGGGACAACAAGGCTATACCAAATAAGAGATTGCCATTTCAGTGGGACTGATCCTGTATATTACATTGGTATGTTATTGCCTTGATTCTGTTGTTTTACCTCGTTACCTTTCCATGAACGCTCACCGATGTTAGAAGTTGAAATCATGACACAGCACATTCGGGTTCAGTGTGTCTTACTATATACAGGTGGAGAAGATGTGATGATGGAGAATGTTGGCGTTATACTGCTACGCAAAAGGTTTTATGAAACCCAGAAAAATGCAGTGACAAGAAGGAAAGTTGATTCCTGTGTACCAGAGAGTAATGCCATGTTTCTCATCTGCAGTGGAGGTGGCGAGGGGTCACTCGACCGTCTCCTCCCCTCGGTAAGCACAGGCCTCTCGCCCAGGAAAAGGACAACCAGCCAGTGTAAGTCAGAGCCTCCTCTGCTACGCACCTCCAAACGAACAATCTACACTGCTGGTCGCCCACCCTGGTACAACGAGCATGGAACACAGTCCAAAGAGGCATTTGTCATTGGTAAGAAGAATGACTTTCTGTGTTTGACATTTAGATATCATAAAGATCTATGAACTGTCAGAGCCCCAGCTTAGGTTAAGTGGTGAGTTTTCATCTAAAGTATTATAAATATGTTCGGATTGTACCTTTAAATTTAGGAAACTAATGAATAATTGTTTATAAACTAACCTTGTACTTTGTATAAGTGAACATTTTTAATGTTTAGAAAACTCAGGGAATGCACACATTAGCATAATTTCTTCCCATATAGTTGTGGCACAAAGTTGTCATTACCTTATTTAAGGTAAGGTAAGGCATTTTCTTGGCGTATTTGACCATTTTATGAAGAAAAAAGCTTGAGAAACCTAAACCCAGATAGAGATGCACTGGTTAAAATTAGTTGTTTTTCACAAACTGGAGAGTTTCCTCTTTGGCAGAGTGTTTTTAAATACAGGAAAGCTCTGCTATACTAGTGATAAAGGGCATTAACTCACAATTTCTCACTGGATGGAGCAAAGCAGATCCATCCAAGTATGTTAAAGATGGGTGTGCCCTGCTATCAGGAAGTGCTGAACTAATGTGTGAGAGACTTTGTGAAAAATAGGAATAAAGAGAACGTTTATGTTGAAGAATGTTATTGGCTCTGTTTCTGCATGCCTTTTTAAAATAGCCTAAAGCAACCTCACAATGCACTGAAACAAGTCTTGCCAAACTAGTCAAACTACTGATAGCATGTTTGCACCAAGTGAAGGTACACTTACCAAACACTTTATTAGGGCCACCTTGCTGGTACCAGGTTGGATCTCCTTTGGCCTTCAGAACAGCCTTAATTCATGACATAGATTGAAAAAAGTACTGGAAACATTGCTCAGAGATTTTTGTCCACATTGACATGGACTGATTCTTATATAGCGCTACTTTACCTCAGCACTCAAAGCGCTTGTTTTTTTTATTGACATGACAGCATCACACAGTTACTGCAGATTTGTTGGCTGCACATCTCAAAGGTGTTTTCTCTCTTGCATCGATCTGTGACTGTGGAGGCCATTTGAGTAACTCCTTGTCATGTTTAAGGATCCACTTTGAGATGAGTTGAGATTTGTAACATGGCACATTTTCCTGCTGGAAAATGTGACCACATGAACATGGTCAGTAACAATACTTGGACTGTGGCATTTAAACATTGCTCAAGTCGCTACTAAGGAGTCCAAAGTTTGTCAAGAAAATCATTACACCGCCCTGAAGGCAGGGTGGTTAGATTAGATTAGCCTCTATTGTCCTCTGGGGACAAATTTACCTTGGACAAGCGAGGGAAACACATCATGTAAAATAACACACATATGCAAACACTCACAGAGAAAATGTAACTCCAACTCACAGTTTTGTACCTTTTTCCTGAAGACATCAACTCATAATCATTACAAAGGATGTCATTTTTGTCCGTAGTAATTTTAACTATCTTTGAATCAGATTTTGAATTTGGGATCTGAGCTTGACAGAAAGGTTTTCAAACCATGTAGTGATACCATAACAGATAATAGATTCAACAGTTCCCCTAACATCACGCATTTATTCACTCCAAGGTAGCCTTAAGCTCTTAAAACCTCTGACTCTGCCATCTGAACGTCACAGCAGATGTTTTTCCAATTTCCTTTTTTCCAGTTTTGTTGACCCCTGGAAACTGTAGCATCAGATTTTCTGTTTTTGGGTCATCCTCTGTAAAATCTAGAGATGGTTGTGTGGGAAAATCCCAGTAGATAAGCAGTTTGTGAAATAATTACAGTAAAACCACACCTATTAGTCATTTCAACTTTCTTCCCAATTCTGATGAACTTTTTGAAAGTCTGCAGGTCATCTTGACCATGTCAACTTGCCTAAATTCTTTTGTTTTTGTAATTTAACTGGAAGGAAGTTATTACTCAATGGCTGTTTGTCAATTTTTAATTTCAGGCCTGTGTGGTGGCAGCGCTTCAGGAAAGACAACTGTAGCAAGGAAAATCATAGAAGCTTTAGATGTACCCTGGGTTGTTCTACTCTCAATGGACTCTTTTTACAAGGTATTTCTGTGGTGTCTACAAAACCGTATATGTCCTTTTGCATGCAGTGATACATTTGTCACTGTATCTGTGAAGTTGTTAAAAGTTATCTGAATTTTTAAATGTTGCTGCATGTCTAAATAAGTGTTTAGAGTTATAAATAAGACATGTGATAGGTCCAAGAAACTCTGTTCTTATCACTTTTGTCTTGAATGGCTGTTAACCACCCAGGGGCATAAAGGAAGGCTAAAGAAAAGCGAGACTGAGTGCAGGAAACAGGGTGAAAGAGAAAAGAAAAGATTTCCTTTGGATCCCAGAAGGAAAATGAGAAAAAGAGGTTTTGATTAGAGAGAGAGAAGAAACAGAGTAGATAAAATATAAGGAGGCAGTGAAAACAAGGATGAAAACACAGTGATGGGTGTTAGGGGGAGAGAAAAAGAGATGTAGTGAACAGTGTGGCAACAGCCATCATTCTTGCCCCCTCTACACCTCCACCCACTCTCTAGTTGTGTAATCCTGTCAAAATCTGACAGCGGCAGATCAGACTGTGCAGAGTTGGAGGGATTTACCAGTGACCAGTGCCGCTGTAGCCCTCAGCAAGTGGTGGTCTGCTCACCACATTTTACAAAAGATTGCCATTTATTTTCAGTTAATCTATGCATTTTTATATTTTGCTTTTTTCCAGTATAACATTGGTTTATTACATAAATATGTTACCAGTTCATTTGAGAAGGGAGTGTTGCTGTTCATTAACTGCCAAATACCAGGACTGGGTTTTTAATGTTCAACCACCCAAAGGACAGATACGTGCGTGCACATACCACCTCGTACGGACGTCACTGTGGCACATGATGTCCTCCTAAATTTAGGTCCCCAAACTTCTCTGCTCTCGATCAGCAATCTGTGCCAAAGTGTTTTTGCGTTATTATTTGTGAATGCATCATTTGTTTTACTGCAAAACACGTGTGTAATGTTACTTGACTAAGAGATTTTTCTTTTGATATGCAAATATTAATATGTGTTCATGCCATTTTCTCAGGAAATTTTGTAGCATTGAAAAGCAGCATGCAGTGGTGACATACTCTAACTTCAGTATCATGGCAATCCTCAGGTCCTGTCCCCAGAGCAGCAGGCAATGGCTGCCAGTAACGACTATAACTTTGACCACCCAGATGCCTTTGACTTTGATTTGCTGACACACACCTTGCGCAAACTCAAACAGGGCAAGAGCGTGAAAATCCCTGTGTATGACTTTACAACTCACGGGAGACAAAAGGACTGGGTAAGGATGAATGCACAGACCCAAACATTTGGCTTTGTATTTTTAAGTTATTAAGTAGCTTGTCATTTTTGCATATAATCCCTCCTTTTTGTTTACCGAAGAAGGTTTTAATCCTCTTTTCTATAGATTTAGCTGCATTGTAAAGCTGTACATCTCCAGATGGTCTCCGACAGATCGCTATTGTGATATCTGTTTACTTCTCTTTATCCTATCACACACAGACATTCACACATTAGTGAGGCAAGTCAGTTTGAGAGCTTACAACGATTGTTGGAATACATGCACACTTAATGTGTAGTGCTTTAATGCCCTCGTTCTCATTTTTGGTATGTAAATTTTATTGTGTTATTACATGTACATGTCTCTGCCCCAGAAAACAGTTTATGGAGCCAGTGTTATCATCTTTGAGGGAATCATGGCCTTTGCAGATAAAGAACTGTTGCAGGTAAGAGAAGGTCATTAGCCCTGAACAAACCAATACAAGGTCCTACTGTCAGCTTTGTTGTCAAAAATATGTATTACCTAATAAAAAAAACACTCTTAGAAAACACATACAAGTGGTGTAAGAGGTCTTTATTAAACAAGAGGTAGCTGTTTATTTTTCCCATGTTGTGTACATAGACAAGATTTGCAGGTTTTTAAAATAGATTCAGCATATGCATGATAGCCCAAGATAAGTAAATAGATTGAAAAGCCTGATATGTTTGTATGCACTGTGTGTCAGCTAATATGTGCAGAGAAGTGAATATTGATTTAAAGATAAGAAAAAAATATCTGCAGTACATAGTTTGTCCACTTGAGGGCGCTGACAGGTTTGTTTTTCAATTGTTAAGTGTCATCGATTTAAAAGACGTAATGGTTCTGAATAACTGCAGTATCAACTGCAACACAGTAAAGTTAATGAGTTTTTTCCTTTAAAGGTCTGTTAAAATCAGAAGTCCTTGTAAGCAAAAGAGAAGCAAACATTTTCATTAGTTATCTAATATTCATTCATTTTTCATCTATACTTACATTGACATTGCCAGAAATATTTTTTGCTGTCAGATCTTTCATTCATTCATTCATTCAATTTTTTTCTAGAATTTCTTGCAGGCTTTCACAATAACCCTTTAAAAATACAAATTTGAATACAGTTTGGTATTTTAAGCTCGCTATTTTCATGTCATCTGTTTGTGAATGTGTCTTATATTACTTTGTGTTGATCTAATCAACTTGTTTTTCCAGTTGCTGGACATGAAGATCTTTGTGGACACAGACTCTGACATCCGCCTGGTGCGCCGATTGAGGAGGGACATTACAGAAAGGGGCCGAGATATCGAGGGGGTCATCAAGCAGTATAACAAGTTTGTTAAGCCAGCTTTTGAACAATACATTGAGCCTACCATGCGACTGGCTGATATCGTGGTGCCACGTGGTGAGTATATACCAACATACTTTCATGTACATGTTCAGTATAGCAGCAACAATCCTAAAAAGATTTAAAATTAAAGCATCGTTTTTATGCTTTCTTTTTTTTTCCGGTCAGGAGGTGGCAACATGGTGGCAATCGACTTGATCGTACAGCATGTTCACAGTCAGTTGGAGGAGGTAAGTGAGGTCATGCTTACAGACATAAATATAAATACACACGCAGAAAATCTGTCATGCCACTTAAATAGTTAATTTGGGGGGAGAATTATAACCTTTCATTTGTCCTTTTTCTTGATGGCCTCCGGGTCAGTACATCTAGTTATGTTATTGCATTCATAAGAGGGTGTATGTGCAGGCTCCCCTTCAGTATGTGCCTGTAATTTCAAGGCAGATCACCCCCTCTAGTGGAAAGAAACTTTACTGAGGCTGAATGTCTGTAAGTGCTTTGGGGAAAGGTTTAATCATTAACACTCAATGGAAAAAACTGTTCTAAACTGGTTTTGGTTTTGCTAACTTTCCTAGTAACAGTAACAAACTGTAGTTATTTGGTTCAGAGAACATAAATTTTAAATTGCTTTGTTTTTTTATCTTCTACTTTTTTCTTCTCTTATGTGTTTATTTGAACACTCAAAAAACTTGACAAGATTTTAAAAAGTGTTTAATTATTAGTCATTTTCTGAATCTACTGCCAAAGCACTTAAAGCAAGAAGGCTAAATGATGTTTTCTGAAATGTGCTCTATGAAAACAGGGCTTCTGTTTCTGTTTTCTTATCATTTCATACTTAAGAAGAAGAATGAATATGAATATAGCCCTTTAAATATGGGATATATGTGTGGTTCTGTGGTTTAGTGATTTACACAAACAAACAATCCCTGGTTAGACCCTTGGAGGAGACTCAAATCCCTTTGGGGAAGGACATCCGGCTAATGCAGAGCTCCCCACTGTGGTGACCCCTTGTGAATAAGGGAGCAGCTGAAAGTAGCTTCCTCAAATAAAGAAAATATGTCAGGTGGAGCTTGCTGACAGAAATAGGTTTCAGTGTTTTAACCATATTAACTTCTTGCTGTGGTTATTTGTCCTGCATTAATTCAAACCAAACTAATCTCCAGGCATTTAGTTTAGGAATAAATGTAATCACAGTGGAAACATTACATCCTAATACATAATTATGCAGCATTAGTCACACAGCCTTATAAGACACCCTATCTTCATACTTGTCATACACAATGTCGATTGATGGCCTGTTAGACGCACTTTGGGATTAGCTGTGCAACATGCACTAATCACTGGTCACCAAAGGCACGCTCTTGGCTGTCGGAGCACTTTGTCCTACTGTGCAGTTTGCTTTGTTCCCTCACAACATACACACACTGTAACACATATGCTGCTGATGGACTGCTCTCTCACTCTCTCCCCCTCATCACCAAATCCCTCCATTGCTTGCAGCGGGAACTCAGCGTCAGGTAGAGTGGCCTTTATCCTTTATATCGTTCTCTCCTCAACATCTGCCCAGTTCCCCTGCTGCACCAGCTTTTTTACTGGGAGAGCGAGAATAAATGTCAAATCAGAAGAGAGCAAAACCAACCTCTACCTTCCACCGACGTGCTGGCTGCCATGACACGTCACCAGGCGGCATTCTTGTATCTTGTACCCAACCAAATATGGCTAATTAGTGCTCTGTCAGTGGGGACATAATACACGGTTAAGACTCGGTCCACACCACCTCAGAATAAGAAGAAGTGGATCAAAATGTGCGAAAACTGCTGTCAACATTTAAAAGCTGCACTCTGATAAGAAGTTTGAAAGTGGTGTAGTGCAGCCAGCATTCAGTGTAAAGGTGTTGGTTTTCCTTCTCTCTACCTTTTAAAGAAATGACAACTCACACTCTTCCTGCCTTCTGTGTCTAAAAATACACCAATGAGTCAAGTCACTGACCCCTCCTTTCAGCAGCAGCAAGAATAAGAGAGAGAGTGACTACAACTGAAAACGAGAGAGAGGAAGCTCTTGCTACAGTTATTGTTGACTATCGCATACCTCAGCCACAGAAAAAGTTTCCAATACCCTACTACAAAGCGCTGAGTTTTTCCATTGAATGTCGGCCACAGTATCTGAGACAGAGAGAGAGAGGAAGTGAGCTTGGTGTCTGTCTTTAGACACAGGATGTGCTGGGGCCTGTGAGCTGAAATACCAACTTCTACTGTTCTACACAGTGTAAGAGTGACAGCCACACGATAGTTTGTGCACCTCCCACGCATACACGCAAGGGATGCATGGGTACAGATATCAAAATCGGAGCTAACACTTGGTTGGTTTCTTTTTCTCATTGCATTATTATTATTATTATTATTATTATTATTATTATTATTATTACTATTAAATTTTGATGTCATTTAGTTCAAGGACTTTTGACATTTGCAATTCTGGCTGTCACACTTTTCACTGTTCTCGATAATCTTTTCATCCACCTGATTTTATGTCTTTTCTCATTTTTCTTCCTCTTATCTGTTGTTGTTGTTTTTTTGGTTTGTTTTTTTTGTTTATCTGTGTCCGCTCTGTTGTGAAAAAAACCCTCCCCATAGAGGAAACTTCGCTGGGATATGTGAGCAGACATGCTATGATTTCTCTTTTCTTTGCATCTGGCTAATGTGTATCTCAGTGGCATTGCAGTCAGTCTAGTGTGAACAACACTGCATCACTGAGAATTTGTAAAAGCGTGTCTATTCCCCTCAAGTCCAAGGTAGAGCGAGGCTAACAAGGCATTCAGAACTAATATTTATTCATGCAAACATGGGGAAATATTAGAAGTGCAGCCCTACCATGGGAAACTAATTATGCATGTGTTTATATTGCACATTTAAATCTTTTATTTGTATCTGTATAATTATAATTTTCAAATTAATCTATTTTTCCATTATCACGGTCTCTGTGGTGTTGTTATTTTCCACTGAAATACTCAAAACTGGCCCTGTGTGCGCTGCAATTTTGTGTGTGTGTTTCTTCCCAAGCACTCCCATTACAGTGGGTACACTGCCATTATCAACTTTACTCTAACTGCTATTGAAAAATTATTTGTGTGGGGTTTTTTTGTGTTATTTATTTATCTGTTTTTGCATGCACACACAGGTCTGTGTGTGTGTGTTAAAGTGTGTATGTGCACGTGTGTGTGTGTGTATGACCTTGCACATACTGTACACATGCGTGCAGAGCAGACTTAATTGCACTGGCTTTCACGTGTTGCACTCATGCGTCTGTCCATCTTTTCTCTTTTCCGCTGCTCTCGGCGTGTACCACCCCCGCGCTACTATTTGTTGCCGTGGTTACAGGGCAGCCCTGGCTTCTGCACACCAGGCCCAACCCCTCCCCCAGACCCTCAGCGTTCTGGAGAGCACACCTCAAGTCAGGGGCATGCACACCATCATCAGGTAAAAGCTAAGAAAGCACATTGTTGTTCCGTTAATAACTGCATTTGTTTTCATGGAAACCTGGACGGTGGAAAGCTGCCAAATAAACCTTCGATCCTTCTTTTCTCGACCATCACATCTAGAAACAAGGAGACCAGTCGCGATGAGTTCATCTTTTACTCTAAGAGGTTGATGCGGCTGCTGATTGAGCGAGCCCTCTCCTTCCTCCCCTCACAGGTCCCAAACACAAACACAAAAACGGTTCAATTCAAGTATTGTATTACACTCTATCTTAATTAAGTTACGTTCTTTATACCAAGGAGGGCATTAAACAATTGGAAAACTACCACAGATAGAGAGAGTTGTAGGAGAAAGAAAGCATGAGATAACCACTCAATAGAAAGATGCTGACAAGTCGCACACAGAGACCGTGCTACAGTGTGTGGCCCTGAAATGGGGAAAAATCTGAAAAGGCACTGATAAATGGAAAAAAGAATCTCCCCATCTGTCTTCTACAAAGAAAATCAGATAGACATACTGTATTGGCCTGCCACATGAGTATGGAAACTTATCAAGTCACCACAGTGGAAAGTTTCCATATCTTCATCGCAACATTCAGTGTGCATTTCACAAATGCACGTGACCGACAATTCAGCATTCACTGTAGCTTGTCACAGTATATTTTCCTTACTGTGGTAGACTATAGCATCGTTCTAAAGCTCTTATGATTTTTAATATTACCTCAGGTCCACATAGTGCAGACCCCCCAGGGAGAGGATTACGAAGGCAAGACTTTCCACGGAAAGAGGGTGAGTGAACTCCATTTGCTTCCTGCTATATTCTCTGTGCGTTATTTTTAATTGAGAAAAAAAGAAAAACATTCTGAAGAGTTTTGTCTCGAAACTAAATTGATGCAATTAACCTCTGCTTAATTTTTGTACCCCTCTTTGTTTTGCTTTAGATCACAGGGGTGTCCATCCTGAGAGCCGGGGAGACCATGGAGCCGGCTCTGAGGGCCGTATGCAAAGACGTCCGCATCGGCAAGATCCTCATCCAGACCAACCAGGACACTGGAGAGCCAGAGGTAATAAACCACATTAATGTCACATGCTATCAAAAACCTATAACCAAAAACAATTTTGGTTATATGAGTTTTTACATTTACACATTTTCACAGTAACCTCCTTTGGCCTAGTTTGCCATGAAGCAGTTGTTTGTAATATTAGAGGTTTTCTATATGTATATATATAGATGCAGGTCATATGTGTCACATTTTAGCGTGAAGCCACATCCTGTCTGTGCACAATTTTAGCTCCATTATCTTCGTCTACCGAAAGACATCAGTGAGGACCACGTGATTCTAATGGACTGCACTGTGTCCACTGGAGCTGCTGCCATGATGGCCGTGCGAGTCCTGCTGGTGGGTGCACCCAGTTGTTCACAACAATGCCAGTGCCTCCTGTGCAAATGAATTGCATTGCACATGTAGATCATTTTTCACAGTTGTGTTTTCAATTTCAGGATCATGATGTTCAAGAGGACAAGATCCTGCTGGTTTCTTTGCTCATGGCTGAAATGGGAGTCCATTCTGTTGCTTACGCGTTCCCGCAGGTCAAAATCATCACCACGGCTGTCGACAAGAAAGTCAACGATCTCTTTCACATCATACCTGGAATAGGTGAGCAATGCTGAGGAAGCAGGAAGGACAGGACAGTTTTAAAGTCATTGAAATGTAAAAATAAGCATTGTAGCACTGTATTTATATTTTTTATCGATGTCGTTTATTGTTGTTTTTTAGGAAACTTTGGAGATCGGTATTTTGGAACAGACGCACCGCCTGACTGGAGTGATGAAGACATGGATGAGCCCAGTTACTAAATCAATTGCTGTCAGTTGACTTACTTTTTGAGAGTCAGGGCTGTGCTCCTGGACGATATGAAGACATACCATTTGCCCCCGTATGGCTGCTGTTGAAAAAAAAGAGACTAAAGAGAAGAAAAATGTTGCTTATTTGTATCTGTTTGGTTTTTTTTAAATAATGTTATTTAAATTTGTGTTAAATATATTTTTATTTGTACAGAATGTAATAAGGTCAGAGCGTTTTAGCACTTAAATTGTGACAATCTCTATCGACTTCTGCAGAAATGTTCTGAAAAGATTTTTCTAGCCTTAAACCATGTACTGTGGACGACACAACTGAATGTGAAATTGCATGTGACATAAAAGGAAAAGAAAGAAAAAAAAGAAGTAAACTTTTTAAGGTTATTTTTTACCACGCACCTTCCTCACAACTTTCACAAAAGTAAAATCAGAACATGAACTCATGTTGCTCAACTTCCATCGCCATGAGCACTTTCTGAAGGACCATTCAATCGGAAAATGTGTAGGTGTATTTTTTTTTGTCTCTCTCTTTTTTTTTTTTAGCTCACTGGTTCACTCTTTTCCTTCTCTGTGGATGCTGACCTAACCAGTTGAAAAGGATGTTGAAAAGCATTTTTCATTATACGGCTTTAAGTGCGTACTTGTGGTGCGTATTTATGCAGAATGTCGCTCATTTGCATATTTTTTTACTATGGATAGTCCTGACCAGTCAGCGAGCAACTCGTACGTCTTTTTGTTGCAGTAAAAATGGGTCATCTTCATTTATGTGAAGTGTTTATTTTAGTCCCTCAGATCCCAATTTATCCCTCCATTATTTCATTTTTTTCAGCAGCCCATCAGATTGTTTGTTCAAAAACGGCTTTTGTGGACATATGAACTCCAAATATCCAAAGGTCACAAAGAGTCCTGATAGTGCCTCATCTTTAAACTGTCACGCTAAAAATGAATGAGATCTGTCAATGCCGTTGCCTGTTTAACATTTCCTTACTGTTTGCTGAAAATGATGCTTTAGTTTGCCAAACACGAGGCGCTTCGCTTCATCCTTGCGGGTATACGAGTCCGGGTTATTTGAGGAAAGTCTATAAACTTCTGATATTATAAACCGGGCCATAATTACCATTACACAGTGTTCAGTTTAACAACATTTTCTATTTTTTCGCAGTCATTTGCTTTTTTGAGGAAAGGATTCATAAAACAACAAAGGAAAAAACAAAAACATTGCACTGAAACTGTAAATCTGTTCTGTTCACCTTTAAATATTAATTATGTGTTAATGTACATTAAGTGTGCACGGGTATGAACCGATTGTGTTATGTAGCCTCATTGGGTTTTACTCATCTGCATGTTTTGATTTTAATTCTTTTTGGGACTTTGTTTGGTTTTGTTTTGCTTTTTTTTTTAAATATTGAATAAAAGTGCAATACAACTTTTAAACTGCTCACAGTTTATTTATGCGAAATGTGAATTTCAGAATCTAGTATTCTGCCAGCTCCCACGACTTATCTGAAAATATTCTCCACTCTGGCTGATTAAAATACACCTGCAAAAACATAAAGCAGGGTGAATATTTCTACCTTTATCAACACATTTCGAGAACGAGAGACACATTACCTACACTCAATGAACAGGAAGGATATTGTGGTTGTCCTCTTCTCATGGAAAGTAACCTTGATATCTTCCATCACTTTCCATAATTATCACTCTGACAGCTGTCAAGATGTCAGCCGCAGTAAAGTGTGATTGACGTGCATTTCATGAGGCTGATGGACAATTACAAATCAGCAGCCTCTTGGGCAGATATCAACACACATGAAGCATCGTGTTTTCTTTCTTTCTTTTTTTTAGAAGGCAGGAGGACAGTCAAAAGACATGCAAGAGATACAAATATCAAGAAGCTGAGCAGCAACATTTGTATACTTGTTTGGTTCTTCAAAATATCAGCCGATTTTAAAGGTTTTCAGCAAAGGTTAAGTAGGCTCTGAAATGAGCTAATGTGCTAAACTGGCTTAAATTTGAAACAATCTGGTCCTTTCTGCTGCTTGATCATGATGATGACAAGTGTATTTTAAAAAACCGGCATAGATGTGTTTTATTCCACATGACTAAATGCTTGAAAACTTCAGATTGGTCCTCTGAATGAAGATGTCAGTGGAAAGTTTACCACCAGCACTGACAAACAGGAAGGTAGTGTGTCTATGTGTGCGTCTGTGCGTGTGTGAGTTGCATCCCCATTGGTAGTACAGAGCATGATGAGGTCACAGCTTGGTAGAGACAGCAGGGGTGGCCGTTAAAACTCAGCGACCTGTGTTTCTTTTTCATCCTTATGTCACCAGCTTCTAACTCCAGGTTGCTGTGCTCTCTTCCTGTGTGCCTTCTTTTGGTCTTGACTTTGAATGAAGATGAAGCTTGCCTCCCTGTCTTGCTTGACTGGGTCTGAGGAGTCTGCCATGTGGGTAAGGACTGCACAGAGGAGACTATGAAAGCTCTTCCACACAATGAGACTTTCCAAAGTTGTTGTAATTACGCTTGAGAAATCGTGGAAAGGAACCGTGTTTTTTTCATGGTTGTTATTTGTTTGGTTAAAGTGTTATCTGGCAGTGAGTGCGTCTGGGTTGTAAATGTTGAAGAGATGGTGTGAGTAGGCCAGCACAGAGCAGTAGCTTAATGCGGAGAGTAGAGGATGAATAATTCAGACGATGAAGTATTTCTGAATCATGTGAAGAGGGTTTAGATTAGTCTGTTGAAGAGGGTAAAGTATTGTCTTTCCCTTTCGCTCCCTCCTTCTCCTTTCACTCTCTCGCTCTGTGTGTGTGTGTGTGTCTTCCCCTCCACTCTCCATCTGCATAGTTTATCATGAGAGTAAAAATTCTAAGAGACTGGACTGTCCTCATAAAGTCAGGCCAGGGTGATTTAGTTGTTTTTAGTATGAGTTTTAGTTTGTGCATTAAGCTCCGTTGCCTGAGTGTTTAATTGCTCTCTGAGTGGTTTTAGTGCAAGTTAGCTAACAACAGGGGCCAGATGTGGTGTTAATCTATGGCTGGAGTTTCTGACTGAGAAAAATGGCACAAATGTGAGGCAGATATGTTGTTTGAATGCTTTTCACTGTGGCAGTGTTTGCCATCAGGTTAAAAACTTGTATTCTACCGAAATGAGCTATGATGAATCGCTGTATGCGTCGCTGCTTTAAACACAATAACATATATAGATCACAAGAAAAGGAATTAAATTGTGTAACCACAATAAACTTAATGTGACGTTGTTTCCATTAATAGCTTTTCAAGCGTTTTTTAAATTTCTCAGTTTTAGTCTCGCTGGGTGGTTGCCTGTGGCGCCAAAATTACACCCTTTAACTATACAGGTGGCTAACAAATGATTTACTTTTTAGATTTTCAATTAGATCTTTGTTTGGTTTTGCTTTTGGAGTTGCTTTTTGATTTTATTTCATATGTATTTAATAATCCTGCAGGAAATAAGAACAACACCACAAAATGGAATCCAATCAATAAACCTGCTGTACTGACATTCTTATGTTTAGCTTTAGAAAAAAAATCTACCTTTGGGTGATATTTAGTTCAGAGCAATTAGAAATGTTGGTGGTCAAAATATTATTGCTGCAAAATATGATTTCAGCTCTCCACCACGAGGTCATACAGTAGATATTTGTGGCTCTGAATTATGGAAAAACAGCTCACTAGAATATCCATCAACAGGTGTATATTTCCAGATGTGTAATCACATGTGGAGTGTTATCATAGACACATTCTCATCTTTTCTTTGTCAAGTAATTTTATTTTTGTACACATTTGCCTTCAGCGTGGACTCTGCGTGCGGCGGCTCGCAGAGCGGCCTGAACAACACATCCGGTCCCGCTTTAAATCTTGAGTAGTCCTTTCAAGGACTGTCCAACCTGAGAATGGTGATTATAGGCTCAATCTCAGGTTCGTCAGCCCATGAAATGCTAACTCGCCTCAGCAAAGTATGAGAAGGAACACCAAAAAGAGCCCAAACCTTCCTGGACCGTGCTGGAATTTGGTTCCCGCACCAAGATTTTGAATTACCTGCTGAGGACGCTGACAATCACAAGCTTTATGTCTCTTTATTGCATGGCTAAAAACTGAAAAACACAAAGATCCTTCGTGTTTTCTTAACTCAACGGGAATATTGCAATCTAACAGCAAAGAAACCCCTTACTAAGTTCATTATGAGCTATATTAAAGATGGTTTGACAGGTCACTTTTCCTCAAACAGAAATATATTGTCATAATATTAATGTTGAGTTACAGAATACAACAGCTTCTTTCAGTAATTATTAACCAGTAGAGGGAGCAATGCACACAGTAACCAAAAACCAGAGGCTGTTGCTTCTTGTGGAAATTGTATTAAGAATGTTTATTTTAATCAAATCTAAATGTTCCTATTCAGTAATTCTGTTTTAATGTCTTCATGAAGTAGTCGTTGCTCTTTAAATGTTGAGGACAAACACTTTTTTCAAATATGGTCAAATAGCATTAGACCCAAAGTAAAATATACTCTCAGTATGTTTTATTATTAATAATGTAAGCGCATGTGCTTTCTCTTCTAAAATACTGAAGAAAAATCCACCTCTGATGATCCAGAATGATCTAGAATCTTGTTTGCTCCGATAAAGCAAAAAATCTTCCTCTTGTTCGACAACTTGACATCTCTGTTAACGTTCAAGTTGTCTCCGATTTTTTTAAAGAGAATGCATGGCTGAGAAATGTAAAAGATGCTTTAAAAAACTTGAGAATTATATTCAAAGTGTAAGTGATGCCTGCATATTGTAAATGGGTTGCACAAGCTCATAAAAACAAAATTGGGCCGCACTTACCTTTTTTGCATTATTAATATTTTTTGTCATCAATTCTGTAGAAAAACATTAAAAACACTTTGAATCTGTAACTAAAGTAGAATTATATTTATTACTGTTTTACAAAAAATATCTAACTGTTCCCTTTTCTTTGATTTTGATTTATATAATCGATACAGTGAGTAAAGTGGCTAATATCCCTGAAGACAAATCAGTGCACCAACTCAGTAGTTTATTTGCCTGTTTGGCACACAAATGTAGTTCAGCACGTTCTGAATCATCTTGCTTAAAGCAGAATCTTAACCGAAACGGTAATCGATCAACAATATAAAAAAAATATTGTAATATTTTAAACTAAACACGCCCAAATAAAATGAATTAATTGTAACTGGACTTGGAAACTGTCAGTGAAATATGTAAGTCTTTAAAAAGGATTTATTTCTCTTAAATTAGTTAAGATATTTACTCACTGTATCATTTCCAGCGTGTTTACTACAGATGCAGTACCCCAATTTAATAATCTGTAATTCAATAAACCCCCCAATTTTTTAGATCGTTCTCCACTCAGCTTGTAAGATTGCTCCCTTGAGATGTCTCATTTGTTTTTTTGCACATTTCTAAAACTTTGAATAAAATAAGATTTCTTAAAAATATTTTAATGGGAAATTGCACTGAGGATATTTTAGACCCAGGACACACATCTTTTAAAAATGACCACATTAAATGTATTTCTTGTGAGTTATGTACAGTACCATGTACTCGCCTTCATAGTTTTATAATCTTCTGATTTACTGAAATGAATAAGTAATTTGATCTAAAACCTATAGGGAAAAAAACCTATAATTGAAATCAGAATACATGTGATCAAATCTTTTTAAACTAACAGTATTTTCTAGCTCTATTTTAACTATCCCAGCAACTGCAATTGCATATATAATATATATATATAATATATATATAAATATATATAATATATATATATATATATATATATATATATATATATATTATATTATATATATATATATATATATATATATCATATATATAAAAAGCACAACTGTTCCCACTTTATGTTACTCCTCTGAAAGCGTGAAAAATTCCTCACGTACAATGATGTATTAAAATTGATGTGCCTTTTTAAAAGCTGTATTTTTGGCAATTTTACTTTCATTAAAGAGCAGCAGGATTCTTTTGTTTTTCGGGGGTTCTCATGATTTTTGGGAGGAGGTGGTTTTAAAATCTTATTTAACGTAAACTGCCAATAAATTGGCGGGATAGGAGAGAAGAGTTTTGCAGTAAATGTATCTGGACAATATGCAAAATGCAAGATTTTATTATCCCTGAATACTGATTCTGCAAGCATCCCTTCAGAGGCAAATGGTCATGTACAAAATGGACTGGAGGAGTGTGTGACCTCACTGACATTCCTTTCATCCGGGTTAAGGGTCAGATTGGGATAGAAGTCTCTGGGGAGATTAAATGCGGTCACCAAGGTAACGTTATGAACACTGGTGATGACAAGGGTCACTCTGGCAGACGCTGACACATATATTAATCTTGAAGGTGAGAACGTGTTTATGTTTGTTGTCTGTATTTTGTAAAATTGGCTTTGTTGATTTGAATTATTAATAAATGTTTAATTCAATCATAACCTTAGTGAAAAAATTCTTTGAGTGTGTGTGGATATGCGTGTGTGTTTTCCTGCTGGCTCGCCTAGCTTTAACCTGTGTTCCCCCACAGCATTCTGTCTGTGAGTCAGCCGACCAGAGTTGAAGAGTTTGAGCCATGTTGCTGGTGGTCATTTGGCTGGAAATGAATGTGTGTATGGAATGAAAAGCCAGAAGATGGTGGCCAAGTGTGAGACGAGCTGGCTGGCACACAGTGAACTCTGAGGGTCAGAGGAGGGGTTTAGGTCAGCTCGTGTCATGAAAGTATAGGGCAAAAAATAAAGTAAAACACATTTCCTGTTAATTTATAGTGGCATAAAAAGTATATAAAATGATAAGAAAGATTTCAAATCTATAATAATGTATTTTTTCAAAAATACACTTAACCTTGCGATGAAAATCGACAATGAAAATTACAATTTTTATATGATCTCATTAAATTTAATCTTCTCATAATAAGACTCGTGACCAAATCAAGTCATGCAGAGTGGATTTATAACAATGTGTCTAACATTTTAGGCACCTATTTTAAAACTTATTCTAATAAGTTCCCATTAACTATACTGTGCGTAACTTTTCTTTAATAGACGAAGCAAATGAATGTTTATGATTGATTGCCTGTAACAATTAATTTTCAGTGTATCGCTAGATGGTTTCCATATTTTTCTGTGCGTTCATTGTGTTTAATTGTGTGCATTGTGTAGGAGGTAGTCAATCTAGTAACCTGTAGTAGGCTTTGGAAAATGGCTGGCAATACTTTGATGATCATCGGCTCTGCAGCTGCAGAGCCAAATGTCATACATCACCACTGTGATCCTACTTACAGCAATTTTCTCCAGCAACGTGGATGTAAAACACAATTATGAATATAATTATTTATAAAAATGCTGGCTAAGTGTTTTGCTACATTGTAAAAAAAAAAGCCCAAAACAACAACCATAGAACGTAGAACGCACAGTCACAACACTGGCATGTAGTTCAACAATCAATCATTATGTATAAAAGTACGCGACCGTGCATCATCTACCAATCTTGCGGGCATCTCTGCGTGTGAGTGTGTGTGAGTGTATGTGTGTTAAAGAGTTTAAAGGTGTGGTGGGAGTTGTAAGCTGAGGTCAGTTAGTTCCGACCTCGAGGAGAGCACGGCCACAACCTTGGAACAGTGTGGGGGTGGTTCACTTCCCCTTTCCCTGCCTCACGGCTTCCTGTGAGTGCTAGAACCGTTAACCACACCCTCCTCCTCTGGCCTACACCCCCACACACCACCATAGCAGGCCCTAGAAAACATCCACAACTCTCCCCTCTTTCTCCTTCATTCCCTGGCCAATGAACACACACGCACGCACACTCTCCAACAATAGCCCTCTTCCCTTATACCTCTCCCTGCTCTTGAACTCGACTCTACCCTGGCAACCATCTCTGCGCTTCCCTGGCCTCTTCCGCCTCTGACCCCGGACCAGTTAATTGTCATGAAGATGATTTAGGATGAACGTACGTAGGCACGCTTCTGTTTGAGCCACTGTGGTTCTGCAGGTAGGTCTGCGCTCGTGATCTAACCACACAAACAAGACGCACAACCAGCTCGTTGAAAGGCATTCTAAAGATCCCGTCTGTGCTTAGCAACAGCTGAGTCACCGATGAAAGATGTCGGTGAGCTGATTCTCCAACACTCGCCATTATCAAAAGAGATGAAATGATCTGTTTTATGGGATTTATGACACCAATAAAACAACCACAACAAAGCACAGTCATGTTCTGATCTATTTCACTTTATGCCACCTTATCACACCTACAGCAGCAGCATTCCTACTATGCTCCCATCAGTCATTATGCTGCAGAAGAGGAGAATTGTGAACGAGATCTTCTGTGTCAGTGTGTGTGTATGTGTGTCTGTGTGGGCGTATATAAGCCTGTGGTCTGTGGAGGGACAGTGTGGAAGAGTATGTGTGTGGGGAGAGAGAGGTGTGTGTATATATTATGAACAATGGTAGTGGTGTTTTTTTTTCTTTGGGGTCTATTCCTCGAAAGGGAGTGCTGTTCCCGTAGGGGGAGAGGAGGAGTGGGGTGGAGCGCATGGTGGACTGAGTGTATGTGGGGGAGTGAGTGTGGGGGCAGTTAGGCCATCTGGACTGTGAGGAGGCTGAAGAAAGGGAGAGAGTGTGTGTGTGTGTGTGTGCGTGTGTGTTTGTGGGTGTGTGTGCGTGCATGTGTGTGAGAAAGCAAGAAGGAGGCAGTAGGGATGAGAAGAGAGGAGGGAGGGATGGAGAGCCAGAACTGAGGCTGTAGGAGACAGGATGGAGGTACACAAAGAGCAACAGAAGGAGGAATGTTGCTCATGGTCATAAACATTTCTACAGCATGGTAGTACTCAGCGTCGGCAATATGTATCGATTTCACTTGATAGAGAGACAATAAATGTAAAAGCTTATGTGAGCATAAAGAAAAGACGTGCATCTCAAAGCCTCCACATTCACTTACTGTGTTTTTTTCATATATATATATGAAAGAACTGTGCTAAAGAAAAAATTCTATATACATAATGATAGGCTGCCAACGCCATCCCACAGCTATTCTTGTGCTCACTTTGCTTTACTAGCATATATTAAAATGCAATGAAGGGCATGTAGACTCAGATTCACAAGATATGAGTACAATCTAACTGAAATCATCCGAATTCATTATTTACATGCAGTGACAGCAGAGTCTGTAGTGTTCATACGTGCCTGGAGGAGAACTCGCTATTTAGTCATTTTACATAAGTGGTTCCAGAATTTTACTTGATTTTACTGTTTAAGTTACAATAAATATCTTTACAGACAATTTCGAAGCAGTTTGTTCTTCACTCGGAGACCAAAATGAATCTTTCCCGATCCATTGCAATCCACAGCAAGCACTCTGAGGTATTAGAAAGCCTTCTGGAAAAAAAATAAATCAAGATGGCATATTCCATGTTTGACTACTGCTGCGTGCACGTTCAGATCAAGATGCAATTTTCACAAAAAGTTCCAAAATTCAAGGTTCTTTCTGCCACTGCAGACACTTTGATTCTGTCTTTCACAGCTGAACAAACATGGCTGGTGCTCTGCAACCCCTGTCAATTCTGACAACCAAATTTGTTCTAATTTCATCCTATATTTATTTTATAGTTACAGCAGAATAACATGCAACACTGGTCCTAAGCCTATATCAAACGGTTACACAGAATGAAATCTTACGGGGTGGAATGCTTCGATTTGCACACCGAGGTGTGTTTACAGATCTTGGGAGGTTATTTCTGTAGATTGCATGCCTACGTGCAGTGTGGAGAAGAAGAAAGAAAACATGCTATGGACAGCCTAAAGTGATGCTCCTTGACTCAGTATCAGTTGTGGCCAGTTGTGGAAAGAGGTGAGCTGGCTCTTCATCTCTACTTGAGGCTAGTGGCTGGAGGCCCAACCAAAGATCACGCCCAAATCTCTGAGCAAACTGCCAAGAAATGAGTTGCATAGTAGCTAATGTAGATGCCAAGATTTGACAAGGAAAAAACAGTATGGAATAGAAATATATAGATATTCTAATTCTTAGTCTGCTGCAAGGTTTTTGATCCTGTTTGCAAACCCATACATCATGACTGAACAATGTTACAGGAGTGCAGTGCTAAATAAGGTCAAATCATCACGGTGCACAACGTTGATGTCTGAAGAGCCACGTATCACAGAAACATTCATTTACTGGTTGCATACATGGACTACCAACCCGACCACGCTGACTGCATTATTATCTTTCAAAAATTTAAATTCAGTGTATGTGCAGCACCAAAAAAAAGAAAGAAAGAAAGAAAGAAAAAGGAAAAAAGAATTGCTTTGGGTCCATTATTCATTTCCTTTACAACAAATACCACCACTGGGCAACTTCTCTGTCTGCAAAAGCACAAGAGGCCTTTTCAGAGCAGCCGTTTTAACTCATTATAAAGAAAAGTACAGCTGATCCTTGTACAGCAGTGAAACTGAAACAGAAATCCACCATCTTTGATTTGTGTGAAAACATGTGAAAATGCTTCTCATGAGAAAACCTACAGTAGGGGCACTGGGAGACAAACCTGCCTAGCAATCCCTTTTCAGCACAGAATATTTCTCAGTGTCTGTGCAGCAGTAGTAGTAAAGATTTTCATTGTTGAGCCCTGTGTTTCCTCTTTCAAAGGACTAAACTGGATTTTGAACAGGGAATCATCCTCAAGACAGGGTCGCGTGGATTAGCCAATGATCCTAGGGTACAAACAAAATGTGTGCCAGTTATCCTGGCACACATTTGGAGCTTTTAGGAATGTGAAGTTGTTTATTTTGCTACATGTTAGTGATTAGAAAATAAATGTTCCTGTTATCCAGGTAGATGTGTGACATGCGCAAATGTGAGTGCGCTACCAGAACGGCCTATGAAGGAGACACACAGCTGATGTGAGTATTGAGGTGAACTCAATTTCGGAGTTGTGTACAGTATTCGTGAGAGCAAAAAGAGGAATCCCTACTGTTCCTGGATTGCCAGCTGACCCCCATCCCTTTTGACTATCAACCTCATTCCTCCTCCCATCATTTCCCTCCCCTGATGTTTTGGCCACATCAATATCACCTCGTCCTTTTCCAAACCTCCCACAAGACCTCACCTCATCCCCTCCCCTGCCCTGAGCTCTTCAGGTCCTCCAGGCTGAGAGGTCAGTATGGGTCAGGAGCTTGTGACTCCCTCATTCACGGTCTCTCCTCTCTGTCCTGACCCCCAGTGTTGTTCTATCACAGCTCTGTTCCCTTTTTCTGTCCTCCACACAAACACTCACCCTCTCCACTCATTATCTGACCTACTTTTTTCTCTCTCTTCGCTTTCTCCCGCTTTCTGCGCTCCTTCGTTAGCTCAAGCTGTTCTTGGATGCCATATTGATTGGGGTTTCTATTCACCTTCACTCACATCCTCTTCTCTCCCTCTCTCTATTCCTTTTGTTCCCCAGTGTACTGTAATGCTCAAACCTCTTTGATCCGCGTGTTTGTGTCTGTGTACTGCTTTCCTAAATGTCTCCATTTACTGTAAGCTCTACTACCACGCTATGCACAATTTCTCTCTGTCCAGCAAACGCACACATACACACAAACACACATATTACAGATATATACTGACTTTACTTTGATTTCTCTCTAACCTTAACGATAGCAGGTACTTGGTTAACCCTCACCTTAAACTGACCTTACGCTAAACTTAATATACGGTGAATGTCTTCACTGTACAGTTTAATAATTTACATCATTGGGACTCCCTAACCAAGACATACCCCCATTATGTGTCTGCTTAAACAGATCCACAACATGAGTAACATCTGGACAACCCACACACACAGAAAAACACATCATACACATAGTCAGGCTCACATTTTATTTATTGGTCTGTTCAGTCTGACTTTTTTCTTCATTTTTGTGTTTGCGTGCACTTTTGGATGTGTGGGTTTTTTGCACATGATATAAACCAACATGTTTCTCCCAGCATGTTAACCAGGAGTCTTATGTGGAGCGTGTTTTCCCAAAGGCCACCAGTGTTAAATCATCATTTTGAAGAAGGACCGCACAGCTAAAAACCTCAGGTACTTTAGGGGATTTACTCACAAACCCGCATGGGCACAGTGCGCATACACATTATATTAACAGAGAAAACACAAACACCGCTGAGGGGAGGGGCTGCACTTTACCCCCACATAGACGAAGGTGGAGGAGATGAGGTGCAGAACAAAAATTAGAAACCAAATTAGAGGAACTGGTCAGGCGAGGAGAGGAAGAGAGGAGATGGAGGGGTGGGAGGGAAAAGGGTAGAAGGAAAGGTGGACTAGGACAAACAGAGCCGGTGACCTGAGGAGGGAGTGTCTGAGAACCTTACCAGCATGGATCAACAAGAAGGCTGCTGAGAGGACAGAAATACAAGTTAAAACAGTGAGCGCAACACACTGAGAGAAAAAGAGCACGAGTACAAATGTCAAACATGTTTGTTGGTGTGAGGCGTCTTTGCCCAAACTATCACCTTTTGACCCTTGTGTAGCACCTCTAAAATGATCCCAACAGAAGCCTCTCTTGTGCCCATCACTCTTTGACCTCACGCTAAACCCCCTCCCACCCTCCACCCCCAACACATGTCATCATCACCCCCTCACATCCCAGTGAGATAAACACAGGTTTGAACACAATGAAGCCTCACAGCAAAATAGGATTTTTTAAAAACTCACACGGCACACTGCGACCCCCCTGGCTCCCGCTCGTGATGAAACCATCTCCTGACTGGTGCATCCCACGCCTTCCCATTCAGCCTCTCCTTATCGAAGAGCGTAAAAAAAAAAAAAAAAAAAAAAGACAGAGAGTCAGCAGGGTGGGGCTGGAGAAAAAACACTTATCATATTGTCATTCTGATGACTTTGCCTCTTCCCACTTACAATGCAGCGTTCTAGTCATCACACCTAGATACGTGCAATTTGCACCGGCGTAACGCTTGATGAGTATCCCCCTCACATAAAATAAACCCGTCCTTGATGTGAAGACAGTCTAACTGGGATACTTATACATTACAACCTCCTACAACCGTGACCTCCGCCCCCAACCTCTTCCAATTCTTCCCCATTCTCCCTCTCTCATCCTTTCTGTAGCTTCCTCTCCCTTTCTGTCTCCCTGTCTTCTATTGCCTCATCTCTTTCTCTTGTTGGTGTAAGTAAGCAGCTTAAACACCTACAGGGTGTGACATTGGGGCCCCACGCGCCTCCGAATGCAGTCAGTGCGGGCGGGAGAAGGCAGCGCTGAAAAGGAAAGCGTTTCATCCGTCTATTCTCTCCTCCCCGCTCTGCCTGGCATCGACGGCGCGAGTGTGGTTAAGGCATAGCCAAGGCTGTCCCCTCACATTAGCCGGGGCTGAGCCAGACAAGCCGTCATCCCCCCCCCCCCCGCAAGACTGTCCTCCACTGCTCATCTTAACACCCCCCCCAATCAAAATTTTTTTCTCTCAACCTCTCATCCTATCATCCTCTATCCTCCTCTCCTCCACTCAGCTCAGCTCTGCCATGGGCACCAGTCCCCAATCTCCAAGGTGATTATGACAAAAACGAACGACCCCCAAGAGACGGGGCCAGCAGAGATAAGAGAGAAAGAAGAGGATGGTGGAGGGAGAGAATGAGGAGGAGGAGGAAGGGATTGGAGATGGATGATGTAACAGAGAATTTTGGCTGTGCATTATGATTTGGGTTGAAAATTTCAGAACCAGCAGCTCATAGCAGTTCATATCTATCTATATCTGTATCTCTCTATCATACTGAAATTAGTTTTGTGCAGGAAGAAAGAAGCCAGTGGTGGTAGGTTGATAGCTGTGGGGGGAATTAAACAAGTACTCTTGTACTGCAATGCATATGGATACCTTTACTTTATGTATTTCTTCCAGCTTCCAGCTTGCTACTTTCTACTTGTACTTTGCTTCATTTAAGAGGGAAATACTTTTTTGGTTTCGAACAACATATGGTCCATTGGTGTAAATTAAAATAAATTAAACTACCCGGCAGTGCATTAAAATCTGATTCAAACCAATCCAATAATATGATCCAATAACAAAGACTATTAAAGGCCATTATGTATAAGGAATACTTCTTAATTTGAATGCCTACAAGGGACTGAGGTACCAGATAGATAGATAGATAGATAGATAGATAGATAGATAGATAGATAGATAGATAGATAGATAGATAGATAGATAGATAGATAGATAGATAGATAGATAGATAGATAGATAGATAGATAGATAGATAGATAGATAGATAGATAGATAGATAGATAGATAGATATGATAGATAGATAGATAGATAGATAGATAGATAGATAGATAGATAGATAGATAGATAGATAGATAGATAGATAGATAGATAGATAGATAGATAGTCATTACATGCTGTATATACTTAGCTAGATACAACAAATAAGATCCTATTTCTTCTGTAAGGGTCAAAGATCATTGCTGTGGTGTGGAATGGGGTCATGACCCCACATGGTCAGCAGAGTCAAATCAAGTAACAGTGCTGAACTCGAGGAGGTCATTAAAGAGGCAGAGTGTCCTGATGGGGACAAGCAGCATGGGGGGAGGCTGTTAACCCCTTCCTTCGCCTTTCCCTGCTGAAACGAGAGAAAGCAACGAGAAAGGAAATGTAGTGGAGGAGAAGAGATGAGAGGTCATATTATTGTAGCATAGCAACCCAGGTTTCAGTGTGGGTTGAGGCGAGCAATAATATATAATATTGCTGAGAGGTTAGACAGCTTAGAAGAACCTTTCAAGATGGATGTGGAAAGAGAGGTGCACTTTCTGCACAGAAGAGGGGGAGGGAAGGTAGGAGAGGGGGTGGGGGTGAGCCGCGTCGGTAGAAAAAAAATAGCCCAATCCTCCCATCTCCATCCACTCCCGACACTCGTCTCTTTCTCACTGTCTCTCACTCTCTAATACTATGTTAGTTTCCCTCTCTCTATCTTACTTTCCCTCCCTCTTCTTCCGCTCTGTGCATCATTAAAACAAGCAGAGTAGTGTTCAGAGCGTGGGGCTGAACTGAGACGGTGACCTCCACAATAAGAAGATGTTCTTGCTTCGGGGAAGAGAAGGTCGTTTTGTACTCCTCTCTGTCTCTCTCTCTTTTTCTTCTACTTACTTCCATTGGAGTAAATGAGATTTGGAGGGGTAGTATAGTGGAGGAAGGGATCAAGAGGGTAGACATGCAGACGGTGAAAGACGAAGAAAGAAAGATGCAGAGGGAGAGAGGGCTGTTTAATGTAGGATTCATAACACAGAGAAGAAGAATATGATAAACAGGAAAGATCTGAATTCCCCTAAAGTAAAGTGGATAGTAGGGTTAGAGCAAGGCAGCCAGGGGCTGATGCCACAGAAATGGGCATGAAAAGCCTGAATATGAGTCTGCCTGCAGTTTCATTTGGGAAGAAGATCCTCCTTGCTCGGAAATGAGTAAAATACATCTTCCTTGTCCACATGCCGATGGACAGCATGAGGTCAGCCAGGAGCAATTGTTATCAAAGAAAGCCACGATGTTGGATGTGGTGATGCGCAGCTTGTCCAGGGGCATCTTTTCATCTTATACATACAATAGTCACCAAGGCCTGAGGCCTTAGGGAGGACAGAAATTCCTACGGGTGACACAAGGACAGGCAGTGGTGAACAGCTCCACTGCCCCCCCCCCCCCAACTCCACGCGGTGCCTTCACGCTGGCACAAAATGTGTGGGCAGCGAGCACAAACACATTCTCTGAATCCTCCAGATGATTATGCATCCCTTAAATCCAATAACCTCAATTCATTCTGCTTTTCCTGGTGTCATTCTACATTGTAATTCATTCATTTACACTTTCTTTGACAAATCGGCTCATTCTCTGGATTCTTCTCCTCCATTATTAATGCTACCCTTCCTTACTTTCTTCTTACCCCTCGTTCCTTTCCTTCCTCCCTCCCATCCTCTCATCAGTGGACTTGGGTCCCATACTCTTAATTTGGCCTTTCTCTCCGAGGGAGGACTCTCTTTATAAAAGGCTTGTCGTTTCCCGATACTGATTTGAGTATCACTAAGCTGCACCTTCACACATATTGTTGTCTCACACCTTGTGCCAAATATTCCTTTGTAAAGCCTTCCCCCATCCCCTGCCTGCACCTGGTAGAGATAGTGTTCTTTCAGCCGCAGGCTCTGCCTTCTATACAAGCAGGGCTAGGATGGCACAAGCAGCACACAGCTGTTCCCCTTGGTAAATTGATAGTGAAGGGTAGTGGATGGGGCTTTGAAAGCGCCTTGTGCTATTTTTGTGACAGTTGTAGATTTTTTTTGCTGTTTAATTCAATGTGACCAATTATGCTCCCGCGATCCTCAGCAGGGGAGCTTGGAGAGCAAATTAATACTTGACTTCAAAAAGTTTTCCTAAAGTGCGTTTACATTCTTCATCCTGTTTTTTTGTTTTTTGTTTTTTCTCTGATTCAAATACAAGTCATTAGAAAGGGACCTGGTCTCACTTCCTGCGCTGAGACCATGTGTGTTCTTTGTGTCTGGCTTTAAACTTCTTCTCTGCCTCAGCAACAAACTGTTAAAGTCTAAACAACAAGCTTACTTTCATTATTTAATAGCAAAACTTAGGTGGGAAAAGCAGAATACAGAAGAACAGTGACTGCCCCTTTGGGTAAACAGCAGCCCACAACACACCCATCACCTTGTGCTTCAAGGACTCTTTGTAAACATAAGTACCACACACACTCACACGCTAAACCCACTGTAATACCGAAATCCCGCTTTTCCCTCACACCACTCGCTCTCTCCTGGGTGGATTGCCTTGATGAGTGCTCCTAGGAGTGAATACATGTGTAAGTGGCCTAATGACGCCTAAACCCATCTATGAGCAGACAGAGGGGGAGAGAAAAGAGCGGGCGAGAGACAGGAGGAGTGGGGTTGAGGAGGGGATGCCAGGGTCATGCTTGTCGTGAGAGGCGGATTGGAAGGCCACGCTGGCGTGAGGGAGCACAGCTTTGAGTAAAGCAGCTTGTTTCAGAGAGGGATTGTGTTTGCAGACCCTACTCACAGAGAGCGGTGGGTGTGTGTGTGTGGTGTTGTGTGTGTGTGTGTTGTGTGTGTGTGTGTGTGTGTGTGTGTGTGTGTGTGTGTGTGAGAGAGAGAGAGCGAGAGGGATCTGTGCCTGGGCATTACAGACCTACAGCCTTAATCCACATGGCCTGACATCCTCTGTTATCCAGCCCTCTGCAGCCAACTACCAGACTGATGGAGATACAGCTCTACCCCCTGCTGCGCCACGCCACACATCACTCTCCACAGACACACACACACGTGCATGCACGCACAGTGCATGTTTTGCTGTACTACTCGCTCTCTTCCCCATATTTTGTCCCCACTTCCTCAAACCTAAAATGATTCCTGGTCATAGCCCATATATTCTATTTCCTAAGAAATAGGCTCATACCCAGTTCCTCATTACTATATACATCCACACACAAAGTTCACTATAATCAGTGACACACACAAACTTCAGTCTGTTGACACTGTAAAAGTTCCGAATAAAGAGACAAGTTCTATATTTAAAATATTAATAATAATTAAAGTTTCCTTATGAGTTAATATGCATTTCCCCTCAGTTTTCTTTGTTTACTTTTATACTTGTACTTATTTTAGGTACATCTATTTTATGCTACTCCTTCATCTGCTGGATTTCTGTACATCAAGGAAGGGACCAGTCATAGCAAATGCTTATACACTCACTGGAAACTTTATACACCTGTTTGACTGTTCATTAATGCAAATGTTTAATCAATCAGTCACATGGCAACTGCTCTGTGCATTTAAGCTTTTATGGTGAAATTCTAAGTGAGCATTAGAATGAGGTAAGTGATTTAAGTGACTCTGGACGTGGCGTAGTAGTTGGGTCAAATGGGCTGCTTTCATAAACTGCTGATCTACTGAGATTTTCCTGCACAACCTTCTCTATGGTTTACAGAGAATGGTCCAAAAAATTACAAAATATCCAGTGAGCAGCAGTTTTCTGGGGATGAAAATGCCTTGTTGGTGCCAGAGGTCAGAGGCGAATGGGCAGACTGCTTCAAGCTGACAGGGAGGCAATGCTAATTCAAATAACCATCTATCCATCAACCTGGAGTGGGAGGGTGGGGTGGGGATGGAGGTGGCTATTGAAAATAACTACAAATATTAAGAAGAGCATCTCTGATTGCACAACACATGGAAGATGGGCTACAGCTACAGAAAACCACACAGGCTGCTCCTGTTAGCTAAGAACAGGAAGCTTAAGCTCCATCGGCTCAATCAATTTGAACAATAGAGGGCTGGCAAAAGGTTGCCTGGTTTGAGTCATGATTTTTTTCTGTGGCATTCAGATGGTAGTTTCAGAATGTAGGTAAGTAATATGGCATAAACAACATGAAAGCGTGGATGGATCCTGCTTGGATCAGGCTGATGGTGGTGTACTGGTGTGGTTGCTATGTTCTTGGTACGCTTTGGAATCCTTACTACCAACTGAGTATCATTTAAACACAGCAGTCTACCTGAGTGTTATTCACCAGCTGGGCCCACGTCCTCATTTTAGGTTTGACAGCATTTTAGTAGATAAAGGTGAATGGCTTGGACATGAATTGAGCTGAGGTTTGGGGAAGGCCTCGAAGGGGACTGGTGGCTGCTCCCGGGCCTGACAGATCCCCATGTACTAAACAGAAGTGCAGAAGTTAAAGAATTGAAAAGGGGAGGTGGGTGGGGCATGTAAACAAGAATGAACAGCTTGTAGAACTGGAGGAACATATATAGATAAGAACCGGAAGGAATGTGTTTGGAAACATTGGTCCCACTCCTGAAATTCAGACTTTATCTCCAATTGCTGACCATGACGAACTATATGACCAAAGTGTAGCCATGTTTTGATGGCTGGTCCCAGAAGGATAGCACGCCGCGTCACAACGTTCAGATTATCTAACTAAACATGACAATGATTTCACTGTACTCGACTGGCCTTCATAATCACCAGATCTCAATCCAACAGAGAACCTTGGGGAGGAGGTGGAACAGGAGATTCACATCATGGATGCACAGATGACAAATCTGCTGCTCTTGGGCTAAAACTCTCTGAGCAACCTTCCCTCCTTGTTCAAGCTACTTAAGACTCAACTAGGTGCTGGAAAGAATTTATGCAGTTCTGATGGTAAAACGGCGTCCAACCCAGTACTTAATAAAGCGATTAGTGAGTCTATAGTAAAATGCGATGTAAACAGCTCTTGTATTTGTTGTAGCTCTACAGCATAGAATACCACATGAAAAGGATGTTTGAATAGTGGAAGGTGTTGGGATGAATCTTATAACTGAAGCAGAAATACACAGTGTCAGGTTTCAGAGTTTGTATTGTACCAAATGCTATCTACACACCTATGAATGTGAAAGTCAGTGTAATACATGTCAGCCAGTCGGCCAGCACAAGTTGGACTGCGATGCCCTGCCTGATCTTATGACACCTGCAGTTTATCTCAACACCCTTTGGAAGCATCTGACTCCAGGTCCAGCTGGACTAAACAAGAGTTTTCAGATAAATAAATAAATAAATAGACAAACAAGCCCCACCTCCTAAGAGTATGTTCCTCAGAATAGCAACATCTGTGCTTTTGCATTTTGAATGAATTTGTTTTAGTAGTAACAGAGTATTTTTACATTGTTGTATTGACGTTTTTACGCCAATAACAACAACAAAAAAAGTCTGAGTCCTTCTTCCGTGTCTGAGAATTTTCATCTGTTCAGTCAGTCCATCTGTTGACTCTAAACCCACCGATACAGACCTGTACTTTAACGGGAAGTACACTACATTCCAATAAATGCACTGTTTGTTTTGGACTAGCACAGAACTTCTCACATATGTCCCCCCTACCTTTTGTGTTAAATGTTTGCCACCTCATAATTTTCCCCAGAACTTAAAGGCATGCAATGAGAAGAAGAAGAAAAAATCCATCATGTGTGAAAAGGAGAGCTCAGGCCGAAAGTGGAATTACCCCTGACTTTTTGCCAAAAAAGAGACACTTGCAGGCCTGAGCATCACATGTCTGTCATAGGTGTTTTCCAGTCAAACTGTGTCAAACTGCAAAAGCCACTCTTGTTTTTGTTTTGTTTTTTAAATCTTGACTGATCGGTGTTTTCTTGTTGTTGCCACAAGAGGGGGTAAGTTACAATAATCCCCCGGTCACTACTGAGCCCTATGGCAACAGACGCACAAGCTAGAAGACCCACGGGGGCTCATCACAGCCCCACTGCTTACATCATAACGCATATTATTATTACTATTATTACTACTATTATTATTATCATTATTATTATTATTATTATTATTATTATTATGGCCGTTTGGGAATCATTTCACATTAAATGGATATAGGCTGCACACAGTGCATTCACGCTGTCTCATTTCCTGACTGTCCAGAGAGACAGCGAGAGGAGATACGGGGACACGGAGAGAGAGAGAGCGCGAGCGAGAGCGTAGGGTTAGAACTGAGAGAAGGGGAGAGAGAGCGAGAGAGAGGGAGAGAGATAGACATACACAGAAGAGGAGGAGGAGGGGGAGGCTCCTGATACCAAGACACGGAAAAGCAGGGGAGGGAAAGAGAGAAAGAAAAAGGGGCTGGTGGAGGAAGAGGAGCGGGGAGTTGGAGAAAACGGGGAATAAGACTTACAGAGAGCATACAGAGGAGAGGAAGGAGAGTACCTAGTGCTTTGGACATCCCCTCCTTTCTTCTCTTAGGCTGTCACACCAGATTGGACTCCGAAGGACCGACACCACGTCCACCCCAGACCCCATGGGGTAACAGGTATGTCTGACTTCCTTATATTACTAGTAGCCCTTTAAAAAAATACAGCGTTCAGCCTCTCTCCCTTTGGTAACAGGTTTAAGATTTCATTGAGACGCGGCGGATATCGCAATATTTCCATGGCTTCAGGCTCTATCTTACCAACAATTAGTTTTCTGCCTCACGGAGCCATCGCGTCTACAGCTGATAGTTGGTGGGCGCACAGGTTGGAGACATGACACAATGCAACTCTTCACAAATCGTGGCGCTATAGTAGTTGGCCATCGGAAAAGCTACTGTATGAAGGCCTGTCTGTCTGTTTTTTCTTTCTTTCTGTTTTTTTCTCTCTCTCAGTGCTTTTTAGTCTAGTCCGTCGGCATCATGTTAGCCACGCAGAGTGCATTTTGACAGCGATATACCCGACCGAGTGAGCAGGCAACAGTCTGAAAGTACGCCTACCTGTTCCATACGTGACAGCCAGCTGTCTATTGCGCTTGTTGATATTTGGAGAAGCTGTAATTTGTTGAATGGATACGCATATTAAAGCCATATTTCACACATTAGGCGGCGAATTATTAAACAGATAGACCAAAAAAATCTATTCCTGTCCACTTTGCTGTGTTTTTCCACATGTGTTTGAATATACTACCAAACTGCTTCAAATCCAAATGAATATTACTAGTATAAATGGGTAGTAAAAAATACTTTTTTCATTGTTAGCGCGCAGGAAGAAAATGCAGTTTCCAGTTTGCGTAATTTACGACTGGTTTTGAATAAAAACCATGCACCACTTAGTCAAACGTGTCCTTTTGACTTTTCGAAAAAGCCCATCTTTTAGGTTAGGCAGGTGTATGTGACACTTGCCGACACATACGTAATTTTTCTCTTGGGGTTCGTGTCAGCTCCTCGAGTTTGACGAAACCACCGGATCCTGCTGAAATTTTTTACAAAGTTTTGAAAAGCATGACACGATATCGCCACACTGATTGGGGTGTGGGAGGATTGTCAAGCGCACACGCCGTACCAGAAAATACGAGTGATGCTCCGTACAGCCGTCTGGAGGGGATTCAAAATGAAAGCGCTCTGAGTCTGGAAGACAAGGGCTTAAACCCTCCTCCTTCTCCCCTCGATTAACCTCCGTTTGGGGGATTTCTCCAGCTGGAAATTTCTGCTGCGTCAACACCCAACCCTAGAGTACCAGACAAGACAGAGGGGGGATTTTGTTTGCAGATGGTGCTCTTGGGTATTTTTTTTCTTCTTCTTTTCTTTTTTGTAATTGTTGAGGTACAGCTGATCATCATCTGATCCGCGTTGAGAGTTGAAAAGAGAGTGGCGTCAAGTGTTTTCTGTTTATTAAAGCTGAAGCGTCTCTCCCGCTCGGTCTGTCTCCAGCGCTGTGGGTACAGTGTATGTCTGCTGTCTGTGTCTGCCCTCTCAAACCGGTCAGTTCCGTCTTCCTCCATTTTCTACCATGCTTACCATGTGAGAGGGGAACAACCCCCCTTCATTCACGCTCTGTAAAGAAAACGGCGGTGGGCCCCTGGCTGTTGTGCATCCCCTGCACAGCCAGGTGAGCGCTCAGCAAAGAGATCTATGCATTGCTCTAATCACTGTCCATTATCACAGGGGATTTCAAACTTTTATATAACATAGGACAAACTTAGACTGACGCTGGGATTTATTCCTCATGAGATTATTTTAATTGTTTCATCTTGTTATGTATAACCTACATCAGTTAAAGCCTGTTTTTCAGAATAGGCAGAAGCAAAGTTACAAGTTACAAAAGTCAGCGAGAGAAGGCTGAGAAGACATATACTTGGGCTTTTTTGTGCTAACACAAATCAAACAAAAACACTGCAGATTTAAATCGTGCCCTTTTGGCTTATAGCTTTGTAATGCCAGTTAGATCTAGGTCTTTTCCTCTGTTTGACATCAGCTAACTGGATCTCTGGGATTAAGAGACCATCAAGCCATTTTTCCAAATTGTCTTAGGCCTCTCTCTGGATTTGTCTGGTTACTTTGTCCTTCCTACTACTCAGTTAAGAGTTGGCGCTTGATATGATAAATCCTCCAAAGTCTTTTATTCAGTAATTCAATTACTGTAGGCTTGTCTGTGTGTGTGTTTGTGTGTTTGCATGCATGCCATGCACATTTTGCAAAGTCCTCATGAGGAGTTGAAAGCCTAATTATCTTCTTTTAATGCCTACAATCCTCAGCTGTTCTGGCATTCAAACACTTTTCAATATGCCATCCATACTGTCACCTTAGCTTCTTCCACAATCCTGTCTGTGGGTCCTGACATGACATCCCAGTGGGGCTGCTTCCCTAAAGTGGGGTTGTGTAGTATCATTATTGAGAACAGTGAATGTCAGTGTTTCTGTGTGTGTGTATGTGTGTGTGCGTGCGTGTGTGTGTGTGTGTGTCTGCACCTCCATCTGTGTGTTCCACGGGGAGAATATAATACAGACCAAGACAACAGTTACAAGGATGAGTGGAGGAGGAGTGTAGGCGAGATCGGCCGAAAGATGGAAAAAATATTAGCTGCGCGTGTTCTTGTGGGACTGCAAAGCAGGATTTGAAGCACTTTACACTTGTGCATTCTCTCATGAATGGACCTTTTGAAGTTGATTAAACAAGATTAAGTGCATCAGCATGACTTTTCTGTCTTTTTCTCGATTGAAACCAAAGTTTCTCATCGTGTTTGCTGGAGGCTGGTGGAGGTTGTTGCACTGAATAATATCCACACGCCGCAGCAGATTTTGGACATCTGTGGGAAACGGTGAGGGTGTGGCTGTGTGTGAATAGAGGGTGAGAAAATGAGAAGGAGGGCTCTTGGTTTGGGTGGTGGTCAGGTATGAAGCTCAAAACTATGGCCTCTTCATTGTGTGCGTGTGTGTATGAATGCAAGCCTGTAGCTGTGTAGGTGGTGCTCAGGTTGTGGGCTGAACTGTGTGGTAGCGAGTTGGTCGACTTCAGCTACGCAGACCCTGGGGATGTAGTGTACTACACCCTCACAACATCAAGCGTGTGTTCATATAAACAGTGTGGCAATACTCTAAACAGTAAGTTTATCTAATTTACAATACATTTTCCCAAAAGATAGAAGGATCAGTGCTCCACAAAGACACATTTGTCCCTGTTAACAACCTTGTACTTGATTCATCTCCCTGTCTCTATCTCTCCCTGCCAGTTTTCTCAACCCGATTGCCCCTCAGAGCTTACTTGTTAATGGGAACACCTGTTTGGTTAATTCACTGCAAAATGAACCACTTACTCTGGCATGTACATGTCTTACATGACACAACACATCTCTCTGGAGTTTTGTGACAACTCTGTTTCCTACCTGTTACATCGTGGATATTATAATTCTCACATCTACCGGTATTTCATTTTTAGACAGTTTGGCACATATTAACCCCCCACCTGCCCCTACCCATATCTCTACCAGTTCCATCCCCCCATTTCGTAATAGCTCCCGAGGCCCTTTAGCTTAACTGGTTCTATAGCTCATTGTGCAGGGATGAATACAGGTGTTCCTAATCCCCATAGGGTTACACGGATGCTGTGGGGGATGTGTGTGCGTCCATGTATTTGTGTGTAACAGCTGGCTTCCCTTTCTACTCATTTGACATACTCTATGTGCCCCCAGCAGAGAGAACAGGTGAGTTTAATCCATCCCCACCCCAGACCCGCACACATGTGCAGAATTACTCCCTACCTCTCACATATATCTTAATATTTCATAGCGTTGTTTGCGCTCACAGGACGTCAATGAAAATAACAATCTGTTAAGTTCCTTTCTTTCGTTACTTTGTCCCTGAATTTTAAATTAAAAGGTCGTTTCCAGTTTTTAATCTTTTTTTTTGTCTTTTACACTTCAGAAGAAAGATTGAAGTCCTGAAGGAAAATTTAAATTTGATTGCTGCTAAAAATAAATGCAAGGGAATTTTGAAAATTTTTGCTTGGGAGCTGTTGATATTGCAAAACACCTTTTTGGATCACACATTCCTGAGAAAACAGATGACGGATTTCACTTTGCGTGCTCTCACCAGGGTGTGTTTTTCTTTTATTTAGGAATGTGGAGCAGAACGGCTTTTTTTCCAGGGAGCCATCATCACACAATGCTTATCAGCTTCATGAGCAATTTTCTGGAATTGGCAACATTATCTAACAGCAGTTATCAATTGCATCAATGCGTACATTCGGGCCAGCTTGTGAAAACCGATCAGATCCTCTCCATTATTTCGTCACCGCACTTCTAATTGTTGCTTTAATATTCTGTGCGTTTTCACTTGCTCGGAAGCTGTCAAAACAAAATTGCAACAAGTGAAGTGATGATGGCAGTTTTGCACGTCAGGTAATGCAGGCCGGTTAGATAACAAACACATATTATCTTCCAGTTAGCATTCTGTCTGTTGGTAATAAACAAACAAGAGACAAAACAGAAATTATATCTGTTTTCTTATCCCTTTAAGCTTGCTTATTTACACTACATATTTCTCCGTCTCAGGCAGTTAGCAACTGTGCCCTTCATGTTTTTTTTCATTAACGCCTTTGGTGTTAAGCTACAGATTACCCCATGTTTTAGGATATTCTGACTCAAACTTTTATATCTCTGTGGGAAGTATGAAAAACATCAGCTTTTTAGAGTTAATCTGTCTTTTTGCATCCAAGTTATTAAAAAAAAAGGACTGATCACAGTAATTTGCAAAAGAATGACACACAAGAACAACGTCTGCGTTATGAACCTGTGATACTGTTTCACCACTCTCTAGTAATGAGCTGACATGGGACTGATTAGCGTTGTTGTTCGCATGATTTGCTTTTGTTGACAAAAAACATATTTTATCTTACCCAGACTTTCTTACCTCTTTCTAGATGATTAAATGATTTCTGCCTCTTTTGCAAATTGTTTTACTCGCCCTTGAATATTTCCAATTGTCACTGTTTTTGGCTCAGTGTCATATGTATATATGCTGGGTAGGCCGTCCTTAATGCATAATCATTACCTGGCGTGGATGAACTGGTAAACCAGTGAGAAAATACAGTCTGCACGAGCGCGCTCGCTCAGTTGAATTATTTTATCAACAAGATAGTTGGCGTCCTCGTCTCTCCACTTTGCAGAAAGGTCACCATCTCCTTAGTCAAATTTATATAAGCCATTAAAAACTTGAAGGTTTTTGGGCTTAGAAAAACCTCTTTGTTGAGGTCTGGAGTTTGCAGACTGTTGAAAGCTTCATATAAGTACATGGTTGTTAGTTGTTATTTTCCCAGTGAAAGAGTTTGTCTTTTATACACATAGTGTGAGCATTTGATGAGAAATTGAGCGGCTTTGAGCAAATACATCTTTAGAAACAGTCAACTAGCCTCGGGCTCTGGCTGGTGAGAGATTTCCATATCAAAGCTCAGGTGAGAGAACGAGACAGGGGAGGCAGAGCGAGGAAGGAAAAGAGGGAACGTGAAGGAGAGAGAATGGAGAGGGGGGTGACTGTCTTGGAGGAGGGGTGGTGGTGGTGATGAAACAGACATTCATTCCAAAAGCGCTCTAGCCCTTGTTATTCTGTCACTTTTTTTTTGTGCAGCACAGTTTAGTCTGTGTGTGTCAGTGCTGTCTGTCTCAATCTAAACTCCTGCATAAAAAAACACACACACGCAGAAAGGAAGGTTGGCAGGACTCAAATACAAACCAGCACCTTTCTGTACTCAAATAGCACACAAAAACTGTCTCTACAACCTTATGTTGACTGGCTCTGACCGCAGAAACAGTGTGTGGAGCAGAGAATGGTTTTCTCCCACTAATACTGAATAACATCTGACCTGTAAGCTTCTGCCAATATTTGGATCTCAGTTTAATATTAGTACTGTAGCATAGAGCCATCATTTTCCCTGGAACTATTTCTCTTCTTTAGCTATAAGTATCAGACCTGACCCCATGGAATTGATGGCGACACTCTAATTAATGGATAGAGTTTTCGTTTGACGCTTTCAAAGATGTGTGTGTGCCTCCGTATGTGTGTGCGTGTTTCTGACGAACATTATTCAGCTTTGTAGAGTTTTGTAATCCAGCCATGGACTCAGGCTAGAGTGCTAAAGTGCTGCTAACAAGGCCTGTTTAACATTCTCTCCCCTGCTCAACATACAATTATTCCACTTCGCTGCCATTAACATGTACAGTAGGACTGGGCTTTTAATTGGCCTGATATGACTAATGCCAGATCAACTTGGATTTGCTAATTAGTTTTTGCTTTAAAAGTGCCATCAGGACATGAAATATTCATTGATGTGAGGTGGAGCGAGGACTGTGGGTGGTATTAGTGGGATATTAGTGGTATAGGCAGGCTGCTCGAATGTGCTGGGAGAAGAGATTGAACCTACGTTGGCCTGTTGTGGTCGGTTATTCATACTTTGGGTGAGGTGTTAGTTTTTTCGTCATAATTTCAGACACCCACACACACACACACAAAGAGAGACACGCACACAGATTCGTTGCGCTCACGCACGCACGCACGCACACCACCTCCTTTCTCAACATCACAAGGCCACCTCGTCGTCTCCAGCCTCCACCTCTTCTCTCTTTCTCTCCCGCTCTCACTTCCCCCTGTGCCCTTCTCCCCCTTCCCATTATTTCATCTCCTATTTTTTTCTTCTTGCCTTCTCATCTCACATCCTCTTCTCTCCTAACCTTTCTGCGTTCCTTCACTTTGCCCTAGCCCCCCGTCGTCCCCGCGCCCACCTCCCCTTGCTCCGTCCCAG